AGAGGAAGAGTACTTGGTGACAGCCTTGGTACCCTCAGAGACGGCGTGCTTGGCAAGCTCACCAGGCAGGATCAGACGGACTCTGTGGATGAGGTCAGTATATGAGACTGGATGTGGAAGAAGCGTGCAAAACGTACGATGTCTGGATCTCGCGCGATGAGATGGTGGACTTCTTGTTGTAGGCAGCGAGCTTGCTAGCCTCGGTGGCGACGCGCTCGAAGATGTCGTTGACGAAAGAGTTGAGGATGCTCATGGCACGGTTGGAGATACCGGTGTCGGGGTGGACCTGCTTGAGGACTAAAGACGCGTCAGCAAATTCTGCTCAATGGAAGCCAATGAAGCGCAATGCTTCAAAGACTGGAAGTCGCGCTCAGAATGCGCAAAGTGCAAACTCACCCTTGTAGATGTAGGAGGAGTAGGTCTCCTTCCTGGTCTTGGTGCGCTTCTTCTTGTCACCGGAGGGCGCGGCGGTCTTCTTGCCAGCCTCCTTCTTCTCGGCGGGAGCCTTGCCAGCCGGGGCCTTGCCGCCGGTGGTGGGAGTCTTCTGGGCCTTGGGGGGCATTTTGGTGGATTTGAGAGGTGGTGGTAAAAAGGGTGAGTTTGAGTTAAAAGCAGAAGCTTGGAGTGAGATGGAGTTGGTCGAGTGTCGTGGTGGGAGTTTGCGATGGATGAAGGGAAAGGTCGTCGACGGCGGGGAGCGCGCTACTTATGGGGAGCGCGCTCTCATGTTGTGATCCAGCAGCGGCTGGGAGGCCCGTGCGGCAGCTCTTGCCAGTTTGGTGGCTAAGCGAGGCCCGCCATTGATCTTGCGCTGACTTGCGGCAGGCGCTAGGCGGCGTCGCTGCCTTTTCGCGCGCTAGCGTGGGCAGGTTGATCTCGCGCACTCACAACAGTCCAGCGCCGTCCTTATAAGACCGCCCCGCCCCCCGACAGCAGCAAGCAATCCATCGTCTCGACACTCCACGCCCACAACCAGCTCATCCCGCTCAATCTACTCAACTCTCCAACCTCTCCCACTTCCAAACCAACCCCCAAACCAACTCTCTCAAAATGACTGGAGGCAAGTCCGGAGGCAAGGCCAGCGGCTCCAAGTCCAGCGCCCAATCGTGAGTACTCCATCTCCTCCATCGCGCCTTTAGCTCCAGTTTGCCTTGCGCATTCTTCAGCTGCACTTTGCATCTTTTTGACGCGTCTTTTGCTTGATTGACGCGTCTTTTCGCATCGCATTGCGCATCCCATCTCCAACATTGCATCATAGCTAACTCGTCCTTAGCCGTTCATCCAAGGCCGGTCTCGCTTTCCCCGTCGGTCGTGTCCACCGTCTTCTCCGCAAGGGCAACTACGCTCAGCGTGTCGGTGCCGGTGCCCCCGTCTACCTCGCTGCCGTCCTTGAGTACCTCGCTGCTGAGATCCTCGAGTTGGCCGGTAACGCTGCCCGCGACAACAAGAAGACCCGTATCATTCCCCGCCATCTCCAGCTCGCCATCAGGAACGACGAGGAGCTGAACAAGCTTCTCGGACACGTCACCATCGCCCAGGGTGGTGTCCTCCCCAACATTCACCAGAGTACGTTGCTCCACAATCTACTCGCATCGCATCAGTTGCTAACATATTTTCAGACCTTCTGCCCAAGAAGACAGCCAAGCCTGGCAAGGGTCCTTCGCAGGAGCTCTAAACGCGTCCTGCATTTGAGTTTCTTCTTCACGGCGTGGTTACTTCATGGGTCTTTTTCATCTGCAATGATAATGGGAGTCGGTCTGGGTTTGGGTTCTCGGCTTTTTACGGGATTTATACCAGAGCTGTATATTAGCTGGTTGTATTGACGACCGCGAGCTCATGAGCTGAATCGAGCATATCACTTCATCTACCGTCTTTTGCCGTGACTTCTTTGCTAATGCTTAGCTTTGCACTGACGCTATTTGGACTTTGCCATGCGCGCCGTGTAACCTAATTCACAAGCTAGCTACACCGCCATTTCTCGCGCCTGTATATCTGAGTAACGCCCCATCTCCACTTCGCCTACACTTGCGATAACGTTGCGTCGACCGTATCTCACCATCACGCATTCTCGACCATGCTGTCTTGACACGCATTTCGCGTTCGAATCGAGACAGTTGGAATTCAGCAACGGCAACGAGCGAATTGGGCAATATATGGCATATATGTACGTTGTAGAGAGGTGGTATTTGCAGCGTTGAGGCAGTTCCATGTGCTAGGCGACGCAGCCGTGTGATGTAACTCGGGGTACAATGCACTACCTGCCGTGTACTTGATTTCAGTTGTATGGCAATCGTTTAGTACACTTGGGCAGTCTGGTAAGATATGTGAGGGATTGTAGTGCAAACACAGCGTATTTGTCGTAGATAGCTATAGTATTCATCATCATCCCTATTGATGCATATGTCTACAGGTGCACTATTTCAAACGACGTGACTTAGTATATCCTCCTACTCTTTTCGCTCGTAGCGTAAACTATACTTGGTTCCATGGATCCAGGGAGGTTTTGTCGCATGATACGTGTTGGTAGGTGTCTTCCTATAGGTATGTGGCCATCTGCAGTGTTGATAGCATTTCAAACATATACGGCATGCTATGTATTTTACTCCATGAAATTTATGTAATAAGTCACCTGCAGCTGATTGTATTGATAACTTGTGATGATAGGCCGAATTATCTCTTTTCGTGAGGTGCTTTTCCGTATGATTGTGTTGCAAGGTTGGTGAAGAACATTTGGAATTAAGAATGAAGAGCAACTTATTCAAAAAATCATTACAACCCACCACCACACTCAAATATCTCAAAAAATGCATGAATCGACTGTAGTAACACTGGATTTTAGTTTGAAACTATTTTTGTGTTCGATTTCCCGCGTGGTGATGTGCTCTCCATTATAATCGCTTTCACGGCGTACGAGCAACAGACGCGACCACCGCGCTTGCAAAGTATCAGACACGTAGAGGCGCGTCATTGCACGTTCATACGATAAAATCAACTTGAATAGAGGTAGTTGACGTCATTTTGCCAGTCTGAACTGCCATGTAGACCTCAACGTCGACGCGTCGAATACCAGCTGCGTTGCGCGAAGACGCGTCTCGACATGAACACATCCACACACGATACCAGTAAAAAGACGCTTAATATGCACAGAATCACCAATGTATACACATTTGAAGCCCCATAAATATACATATGCAATACAAATCATTCAATGCATGCAAAAATATCTCGTTGAACTATTCAACCACACCTCTCTGCCCCGCCACTAGTTCCCGCGCTTTCGCACAAAGACCTGCCATCCTACATATACACACAGACACAACTACAGCATCAGCGCTTACAAGAGCATCTTCCTGGGGTCCTCAATGTACTCCTTGACCTTGACGAGGAAAGTGACAGCTTCCCTTCCGTCGAGCAGTCGGTGGTCGTATGTGAGCGCAAGGTACATCATCGGCCTGATCTCGACCTTTCCGTTGATAGCAACCGGCTTCTCCTTGATGGCGTGCAGACCGAGAACGGCGGTCTGGGGAAGGTTGATGATGGGAGTACCCATCAGACTACCAAAGACACCGCCGTTGGAGATGGTGAAGGTACCACCAGCCATGTCCTCAATAGTAAGCTTGTTGTCGCGCGCCTTCTTGCCGAGGTCGGCAATGGCCTTCTCGATGCCGACCATGTCCAAGCTCTCAGCGTTTCGGACGACGGGGGTGACGAGACCCTTCTCGGTAGCGACGGCAACGGAGATGTCGACGTAGTCGCGGTAGACGATGGTGTCGCCGCCGTCAGGGCCCTCAATGGAGGCGTTGACAGCAGGGACGTCGCGCGCGGCGAGGATGCAGGCGCGCGAGAAGGCGGACATGAAACCGAGCTTGACGCCCTTGTTCTTGAGAATCTCGTCCTTGTAGAGCTTGCGGAACTCCATGATGGAGGACATGTCGACCTCGTTGAAGGTGGTCAGGGAGGCGGCGGTGTTTTGCGACTGCTTCAAGCGCTCGGCAATGCGGAGGCGCATGCGGTTCATCTTGACCTGCAAGGCTGTTAGTACACATAACTCAGCGTGCGCGAAGGTTACATACGCGGCGCTCCTCACGGCTACCGGGTGTAGCAGGCTTGGTCTCCTCGGGCTTGGAGTCCTTCTTGGGAGGTGCAGGCTTAGATTCTTGCTTGGGCGGCTGGGGCTTCTCTTCCTGCTTGGGAGGCTCTGGTTTCGATTCCTCCTTTGGCGCTTCTGGCTGAGACTGCTCTTGTTGGCCCTCGGGTTGCGACGAAGTCTCCTGGTCCTTAGATGCAGGCTCCTTGGGCTGCTCGCTGGCCTCCTCCTTCTTTCCGCCAGCTGGGGCACCACCGGCCTCAAGCTTTACAATGTCCTGTCCGACGGTGACGGTGTCCTCCTCGTTGACGAGGAATTCCTTGATAGTACCAGCCTCGGGCGCATTGACGGCGACGTCGATCTTGTCGGTCTCGATAGTAGCGATCTCTTCATCCTGCTCAACGTAGTCGCCAACCTCTGCATATTGTGAGCTAGTGGCATATCCAATTGAAGATGGTGAACGCACGTTTTGACCATTGCTTCAGGGTTCCCTCTGTGATCGACTCAGCCATCTCGGGCACCTTGACGATGGTGTCGGCATAGCTTCTTGTCTGCTCGAGGGTCCATAGGCGTTGTGAAGAGAGCTGTCCAGGCCGTCTGTAAACAGTTAGTGTTGGGCATTTTTGTTAGATGTAGACATTCGCAGTACCTTGAAGCTTGAGCGAGGAGACCAGAGGAGTTCGCCTTGGAGATGGCGGAATAGCTGCGCGCGGCTGGGATGGCTCGTGGGCTTGCGCGCAAAGCTCGCACAGAGCGCATAGCCGCTGGTAGACGGCGGAGACACTGCTGGCTGGACATGATGGGCGACCAGGCGAAGGCTGGGAAAAAGGAAAGTAAGATGCGAGTGAGAGCGATGGGCGACTTCGAGCGAACGAAGTTTGGTGTATGAGTCCCCTTGCGGCAGTTGTATGGTACTGAAGCAGACACGGCACCACACTTCTGACGTCTCGGAAGCCACCCTCCGTCACAGGCACAAATGCCAAGCCCGCAACCTCACGCTGCCCTCACCAAGCCATCTGCGACAACACCGAGGCATTGCGGCCACGACCCACGTTTCTCCCTTCCGCAACAATTCCCACTGGAAGGGCCATCGCCGTCATGAGCTCTAAGATACACGTCCTGTACGCCAACCCCCGCAGAAGTCGCCCTTTACGCGCAGAAACTAACCCAGCCGCAGACGCCTCTACAGGCGGTCCCTCAAGCTCGCCCTCGACTGGAGCGTCCACCGATACCTCTGGCGCGGACAGGCCCTGTACATCCGCGAACTCTTCGAGGCCAAGCGCAATGTTACCGAGCCGCGACAGATGAGGGTGCGTCTCCCTATTCCACCACCGCGATTACATCGACAACTCCACATATATTACGGCTACACAGAGGACTCTGCTGATGAGTCGCATAGGAACTGATCAAGGAGACGGAAAACCTGCTCGAGAAGTGGAAGCACCCAGACCCTTACCGCCCACCCACGGCTCCTGGAGGTTCGTTGCTAACGCCCGGATACATTTCCGCATCGGCCGCGGATATGAATGTACTGACGGGTGTTGTAGGATCAAAGTACGAGCGCAACCTGCCCTGCCCAATCATCGATCGTGAGTTCACCATCAAACATTTTCACTCCATCTGCTGACGACACACAGCTCCACCGAAGATGATTTTGTAGTCGGGGACTTTGGAACAAGCATGGTATCACGTGTACATATTACAGCTATAGTGCAACTCAACAGTAGTTCGCAACAAGAAAGTCGAAAGCTTCATTTTGTTCGTCCAAAGGCTGCCGTGAAGGTCTCGAAGCACCAACCTCATCATTGTATTTCGTTTTGGAGCGCTAATGAACAACATCTCCAACGTGGTCAAGTCTGGAACTTCCTCACCCTCCGTACAGTGCTGAGATATCCCATACCATCTACAAGGTCCTCCTTCTCGACCCAAATGGGTAGGCTACCGACGCCCGTCGTCGCTTTCCTCGCTTCTTCCTGCGCACAGGCGTCCTCCAAGTAGGCCCATTCCGGCACGTCGCAGCATCCGCCTACAAAGATAGTCCTCTCGGGTGACAAGTTATATAGCAGCGACTCGTGCGTCTTCGGTACCAGCACTTCTACTATCTTCTTCTCTGGATTGAAGCCCCGAATCATCGCCGTGCAGACCAGTCTCGTCGTTCGAGGATCCAGCGGTTCTACCATTCCTGTGCGCGCAGACTCGGCAAGATATGGAATACCAAATTTCTGGGTCCGTGGAAGCGAGCCTGGGACTGCAGCAGATGTGGATTGGATAATGTGCACAATAGATCCGTTCAGTGCATGCAGCATTGAAGATGGCTCGACTGGCTCTGAGTACATTGCGAGAGCAACTAGATCCTGTGCTCGCCCGGTGGTTTCTTCGTAGCAGAATTCCCATGGCACTAAATTTGAAAGCGTCTCTGGCGTCCAGCTGAGCACTTGGGCCCGGCTTGAGCTTGTACTGCTCGATTTGAGATGGAAATAAGACTGCATCTGCATAGCTCTTAACTCATTGTCCGACCTTATAGCAACTATCTGGGCCTGTTGCGCGGTGATCTCATGGAATGTGCCGTGAAATTGCGACGTTGATGTTTGAAGCAAATGCAGCTTTGCCGCTGTTTCGGTGTCGATGGCCCGTGTATCCCCAAGATGTACGACGTTGTGTGGTTTAATTCTCGCCAGTAGCTTTGTGAGGAGGTCGAAATGTGAAGAGTAGAGGAAGTCGGGTATGTCGACGACTAGCGGGAGAGAGGAATCTTGCGAGGAAAGGTTTCTGTATGCCAGGAAGAGATCTTCAACGCAAGACTGATAGTAGTCTGCGTAGTTGGCGAAGTTCGTCGGAATTGGATGTGCGCGAATAACCTCATTCCTCATCGCTTCTTTTGGTCCTGGTACGACAGAAGGGTGTGTAAAACTTGGGCCCAAGTTCAAATCTCGCACTATAGAAAGAGAGACTTGGCCTCCGGGGACATACTCTTGTTTTTGCGCGTCGAGATCCATCCAACATACGGCTGGCACAGATGGAGCGGTCTTGCCTAGACCTGCAAGAGAGCGATTCACGAGCCGCCGAGCAAATGTTGATTTGCCTGAGCTAGGTGATCCAGTCACCACGGTGATGGAGGGATTGCTAGCACAGTCCTCGATTGCGCGGAGCCAGTCTTCGGGTGTCACTTCAGGACGTAATGGTCGAGAAAGCGTATCCGCATCCGAGTTGGTTACCTAGCAGAGATGTTAGATGGTTATTACAACTCCACGTCTCAGTATGTGTCACAAATGTGCCGTTGCGACTGATGCTGAACAGGGGTATGAAGAGATGTGGTACTTACAACGCGGAACGAACGGTCGGTCAAATCGCTCCAGATACCGGCAAAGAGTGGACTAATACTTGCGAGCGGAGCAGGTATCTTGCATGTCCTAAATCTTATTTGGTTCGTACCATCCAGACCACGGATTTTGGACATTGGGTGCGTGGCTGGTACACACGCTCGATAAACCTGGTTTTTCTGCCCATCACGACTGACTGTTCCGATGTTGGCACCGTTGATGTTGACGGCGCCTCGTAGAACTGTCAAATCAAAAGTGCCTATTAGTGTAATAGTCGCGTGTTTGTTCAGGTTGATCGTAAGTTCGGTGTCGGTATCTGAGAGAATGTTTTGGGGTTCGTTGCGCCAGTTGCAAAGCTTGAGATTTCGATGTACGGGCGCGTGTTTTCCCCCTTCATCTGAATCTTCGTGCTCAGATCTCGCAGCATCAAGCAATGGGCTCGTTGGCACAGGAATCTGCTCCAGCGTAACTTCAGGTGTATTCACAACTTTGGCGGCAGCTTCTGTTCTTAGTCGAGCAGCCGCGATCGCAGTGAGTGGCTTTGCGCTGGGGGCACCAGCAGCAGCGGCGTCTTCCCCTCTCTTCCGCTTTCCTGACATACTGACTTTGGATGTTGACATTGGTGTTCTGCATGTGCCCATCACTTCAAAGATCAAGCCAATGATTTTTGGCGCGCCAAGTCCCTATTGGGACTAGTCGCCATGCGGCTCTTCTCCGCCCAGTGGCCGAGCGCGACAGTTCGCGGCGCAAAAAAGTTCCTTACGATCCTCGACTTTCTGGTCGCAAAGAGCATGGCTCTACACACACTATGAGTGCCACACAGAAAACCAAGGTGCCGCTACCGGGCTCCAAGCCGAAGTCAAAACCTCAGAACACCCCATCGAAAGCGCAATTAAGCCAGGAATTTGTCGACAGCGACGATGATTCTCCCAGTGAGACAACCGCGCAGTCCAAGAAGGCCGAGAAGCCGAAAGCCACCATCGGCATTCACGTGAACGGCGTTCCCAAAGCAAAGTCCAAGCCCAGCAAGAAGGACGTTCCTGCCTCCAAATCCGCCTCGAAGTCGAAGGTTTCGCCTAAGAAGCCTGCGCCCAAGCAAATCGCGACACAGGAGGACGCTGAAGGCTTGTCAAGCTCAGAGATAAGCGGCGACGACGCGCCGACTAGGGACATACAGACGAAGCTCCCAGGTAACAAGCAAAGCAAGAGAGCTTCGAGCGACAGCGACGACACCAGCAGCGCAGACAGCTCTAGCGACGACTCGGACACAGGCAACGCGCCGCAACCAACACGCAAGTCGAACCAAACACAACCGGCACCGCCAGTGCAACCACAATCGCATGCCGTTGATTTCCGACCAACCCAGGCTTACGCACCCCCCAAAGGATTTGCTCCAGTTCCAGTCAACGACAGGACTATCTCCAAGGCGACGGGCTTGTTCGATAATCTAGAAGGAAAGCAGATATGGCACATCACTGCTCCCGCAGGTGTCTCGCTGAAGGATTTGAGCGAGCTCGCCATGGACAAAGCTATGAAAGGGGATGCCGTACTGAGCTACAAGGGTACAGACTACGGTTTCTCTCAGACCGAGAGTGAAGATGGCACTCGGGAGGTTCTATTACCACGGAACAATGGCATGAAACCAGGTTCGTTCATCAAATACTGCCTCTATCAACTATACTGACCTGGCCAGCCCCTACGCGGATATCTCAGACTTTACGCCTACGATCGGTTGTACGACTTCCCCACCTCAGCACAAAGCAAGCAGACCAAAACACGGGCTCAGAAGCAGCCGCCTCAATAACGCGATCGACCATTCGCGCACCACGACCACAAGTCACAGGGCTGAAGATGCGCTTCCTGCCCACTGGCTTCAGTGGGAACGATGCCGGGATTATCGGTGATTCCGATGACGAGACCGAGGCACCACAGGCGACTGCAGGGCTTGCGATGCCGAACGGACTTAATTTACCCTCGAAGAAGCCGAAGAGGAAACACGCTGATGTCAATGGTGTTGATGCGCCTGAAGTGCCAGCGAAGAAGACCAAAAAGCAACGGGATCCAGAGGAGATCAAGAGGAAAGAGGAAAAGAAAGCAAGGAAAGAGAAGAAGCGTGCAAAGGAAGCGGCTATGGCCTGAGGAAGGCCGCACGACCGCTTGAACTAGCACGGCATTTGCTCACACAGCATTCCTATACTAAAAAGCGTACTCGGTCAGAGCGATCGATGTCTGCGCTGCCTCTACGAATCGGTCTACATACTCAGTACTCAGCGTACACATGAGGCGGATTGTCTTTGGCGAGAAGCCGTGACAATGAGGATTGTTATCAGCGTTGAGCACGACTTCATCATAGCATCAGTACCGTCCGGCATGGGGAGGATAGTACTCAATCAGTCAATAAGAGCACGGGTCCATGTCCCAATCAATACTGTCGCTATCGCTGTCCCGAATTAGTTGGTTTGTGTAATTGTTGCGTGTATGTCTAGAGAGAGCTAACAAAATCTTCTCTTGGACCTCCATGTTACTAAGTATAACGATATGCTTATGCAATCTGTCTAAGCAACAGCCTCAACAAACTTAGTAAAATCCAACGTGCCCAGGCCAGTCGCCGCATCCCATCCCTCAGCCGTCTCCCACCCAGGCTCTGCAGTGCGGTTAACAATACAACTACCCGACTGACCCTCGGTCACATCCACAAACACATGCCTCAGCTCATCCGAGTAAAGCAAGGGGTTCAAGAAGCCCAGCGCCGGCTTCCCAGCCCGCATCCTCTTGTCGTTTGCAAGCGCAATCATAGCCGCAACCACAGGCGTACTCGCACTCGTGCCTTTCTGCTTGATCCCACTCTCATCCATCACGAATCGCGTTCCAATAGCCGAGAGATCGGGTGTACCACGTCCACCAGGCGCATACCATCCATCATGCGACCCGTTTAGTTGCGCGATATACTTCTTCGCGTCCGCGTCCTGCCACGCAGGGCGGTCAAAGTACTCGCTGAAACCGCCTGCACTGAACCACTCTGCGCTAAGCGGGGAGTAGGCAGCCGTTGAACCGACACTCGTGACGTACGGACAGTCGACGGGGAACGTAGGGCGGAACCTGTTGTTCTTACACTCTGAAGATCCGGTGCCGGCAGAGCCGCCGTCGCCGCTGGCTACGAGGACGGATGTACCCCGCGCTCCGAGCTGCATGAAGAGGTCGCATGCGCGCTTGGCGTAGGCGCGTGGGATCCATGCTTCGTCGTCGGTGTAGGAGATTGAGAGCACAGTAGGTAGATCGTCGCGCTCGAGCAGTGCTTCCAGGAACTCGATCCATGGCTCGTTGGGGCTGGTGGCGAGGGGCACTTCGGTGCCGTTTTCGTCGAGATACGGGCCTCGGCCACCCGTAGAGAAGTAGGTTACGTTCATGGGCTGGACGAAGGGCATGCTGTATTGGATGTCGAGTTGGGCTTCGCCGCCATAGCCGAGCTTGGTGTCGTTGCCGTTTTGGATCGAGGCGACGGTGAAGTTATAGAGGGGGTTGTAGCCGGTTGTGTTGCGGTAGGGGCTAAAGTTTTCCAGGAAGGAGTGTAGGAGGGGCTCATTAGGGTATTCTTCCAGGAAGCCCGCGATGCCCAAAGTCACGGGGGAGTCGGTGTCGGGGATCTGGTAGTTGATGTTGTAGATGGACATGATGCAGTCGGGTGTTGTGTTTCCGTCTGGGCAGGTTTGCGGTGCTAGGAGTGATGTTTAGCTGGGTTTGTCCAGTTTGTTGGGTAAGGATAGCGCAGTTGTTACGTACATGAATCCTGTCTCTTCTCGTAGTGTGATTCTAATGATGAAAGCGCTTTCTTGGAAGGCTTGCGGATGAATTGGGTGACGGGGTAGACAAAGTCAACGTAGTCCGCTACCTCGCTGGGGAGGCTGTACTTTGTCGCGCGTAGAACAGGACTATCATCGTTATATTGGTAGCGACCGAAATCAGCGTCGATGAGGTTGCTCGCTGTGTCAACGGTAGTGTTGATTCGTAGCCACGACCCTTCAACTGAGAATGGTACTCCGTTGGCATTGAGCCATGAACGCACAGCGTCAAGACCGTCTTGGTCTGGCTGCTGAAAGTTGCTTATTTCGTCCCGAGATAAATGTGCACCATACTTTGCATGCGATGAATCGCTTAGGTTTTGGAGATGTGCTTCCAGCTCCGACATGCGAGGCTGCTTTAGAGCGACTGACAGCGTTAGCGGTAGGGAACCATCGGCTTCACCAACAGACTTCCAGCCGTCTGGAAGCTCTACAACACTCTCATGTGCAGCATTGTCTTGTGCCGCCGACCGAGCAAAGGCGCCCAGAAAGGTCGCGCTCGAGATAAGAGTTGAGCCCAATCTCATGATGCAGCCAACAATGAATTGAAATGAAAGAGGAAGAGTTGATGTTTCGATTACATACGAGAGCAAATCAGCAGAGTATCGCAGACTTATGAGCGCGCGAGACGAGATGAAAAATGCAAAGACAGCATGATGCAATGAATCATGGCGAGCGTCGACCCTCGACCGTCATCACCTCCAATACGGTGCCATCTGAGGACCTTCCTAGTGTGACATATGGCAATTTTCTACCATCCCGGTAGGGATAATGCTAAGCATTGACAACAAGCATCGCGGATGACCAAGAGCGGGCGATATTGCTGCGGCATGGGTGGTGCGGAAAATACTCGTATTTCAAGATTCCGAGCACCCGCATGGTCTCGTATCGCTGGAGCTAGATGGGACGCAGAGGTATTTGCCTAGCTCTGATTGTATTCTTGGATCACTAGAGCTGCAAACGCGATAGAATGTATACCAAGGAGGTTCAAGGAGCGAAGAAAACAATGTAGAAGGTTAGAGGAAGGTTGGCTGTGTACCTGCCCAGGTGTAGCCTTGCGCGAATGTGGGTCGCTGTTTGACACTAGTAAATTCCCGTATCTGTACGTCGGGGTAGCTGCCGCGACTCCACTGGACGAGTAAACTTAGTATACGGAAAACATCGCGCGTGTTCCAATATTAGCACTCTCGCACCAGGTTCATCGTCGTTTACGACCTTCTCTGCGCTTCTGCGCTTGGACAAGAGGGCACAACGGGCCATTGTAGCATCGTATCCAAGCCATGCGAATTGCCGACAGCAAGCAGCGCGGACCGCAAATTGTCGGTGCGCCCCTTTCCTGGATCTCACCGCAAGGCAGTTCACTCCACTCCCTGCATGGGACATTCGAAGGCATGAAGAGATAAGAGTTTTTTGCGGCTAGCCGTCGTATTTGGCGGGATCAGTCGGCATGAAGCGACGGACACGGCCAAATTAGTCTGGCATAAAGCTTTACTTAAGACTTCTTCGTTATCCCCAGAGTCAAATCAGTCGTCACCGGCCCCACCGACGCTCTTCTTCTCTCTGCTCGTCAAAATGGTTCGATACGCCCTCACAGTCTCCGCGCTTGCCAGCAGTGTCCTGGGTGCCGTGCCCACGGTCAACATACCACTGAACTTCGCGCACGGCAGCCACCACAAGATCTCAACGGAGCTCGTCGACCCCTCGACCAACCGCACCATCGAAATCGTCGTCGACCAAGGCTCTGAGAATTTCTGGGTGTTCGGCCCCGACAGCATTAGGAACTGGGGATGCACTCGTCTCGGCTGTGCAGGTCCTTGCAACGAGACGGTGCAGCCCTTTTACGACTACCCAAACAGCCCGTCGGCGTCTAAACCCGTGCCCTTCCAGTCCTACTACTCGTATGGAGGAAACAGCAAGTTTATCACTGGAGATGTGGCGGTAAACGATACCTTCCAGTTCGTTTCCGATGCGGGCCTTTCGTCAACCGTGGACACGCAAGTCGCGGTTTCAAGCTACATGACATCGCGCCTCGGCGACGACGGAAAATGTACTCCGACGTCTTCTTTTGACGACGGCATTTTGGGTATCTCACCATACTACCGCAAGCCGACCTGGAACACGACGGGTCCGCACGTGCGCCAGAACCTGCTCGAGGCTGGCGCCATCTCCGCGCCCGTACAGAGTCTGTGGTTCGACGAAGCGCCCGAAGGAATCGAAGATACGTTCACCGGCCACGTCGTCTTCGGTGGCGTCGACCACTCCAAGTACACGGGCGACCTCGTCAAGGTCCCCATGGTCGAGGCTCCGTTCGGTGGTGTGACACTTGGCTACTACGTCAACCCACCTGTCGTCTCAGTCAATGGCACGGCGTTCGATAACTCGGATATTATCTCTCCCACCTGCCTTGTCGACTCCGGCACCACGCTCGATTACCTACCCGTCAGCTACAGTCAAAATGACCAGTTCGCTGCTGCCGCTGGCCTCGTTGTCGACGAGTATGGTGTCATTGGCTGGAACGGTACATGCGAATCTATCCCCAAGGACACGACCATTGATCTAGAGTTCACTGGTGTCGAGGGCAAGAATGTCACCGTCAAGATTCCGCTGCGCACTTATGCCCGCTCGGGTGTCAACCCGTCTACGGGTATCTGCTCGCTGGCTTTCAGCACTGGTGACTGTCTGTTTGGTGCGCCGTTTGCTACTGCCGCCTTCTTTGCTGCTGACGATGCGGCGGAGGTGGTGGCGTTTGCGCAGGGGGGTGTGTCAAAGAAGGGAAGTAAGCCTGATCCGGACTCCATCACTCTGGATCTTGCTTAGCGTGATTGTCGTCGATGAAGTTCGATTCTAGTATATATGAATATTAGCATTGTTGAATTAGACCTTAATGATAATGGATGATGATCTTCCGTGGCGGTGTCGTATGTTCTTGAGTCTCGTCATCCCTTAGCGTCGGACGAGACAGCACTCTGAACTTCTACCTCCTCTGTGTTAGTAGTGTCACTCGACTTTTGATGCTCTAGCGTAACCCACAACCCAAAATTGCGGAAAGTAGAAGCGTAATTGACCCAAACCAGTGCGTGTATCTCAATGTTACCGATGTCATTCTCAGAGATAATAAACGGGTTTGGTGGTCCGTCATGCTTCCCCTCCGCACCCCTATACATGTGTGTACCGCAAAAACTATGTGTGTTCGAACGATGATCTGTAAGACTTCGCAACGGATGTGTTAACAAGCCATCATCCATAAAAGAAGGCCTCTGCGGATGCGCTGTCGATTCCGCAAGCGATTCTTGGATGTGCCAATTGGAATAGCACGGAGCAGAGTCTCGTACCAGCGGAACTACATCTGCTAATCACCAAGAACATTTTCGTAGATTTGATCCCAAGCCTCTCCGGGCAAGTTCAGAAACAAATTCGGAGTTTGCGACGGCGTATCCGGGGCTGACGATGAGTTGGCAGGGGACCCGGTTGGCCTAAGCCTTGGAAGGGACCGGCCGCACGGTAGCCCAAGCTGACGAATTCATACTAGCGCAAACAACGCGCGCTCTGTTGTCACTCAGGCGAGGGCAGGGAATCACCGCATTTGTCGTCAACTTTCACGACACTGCAGCCTCGGCAGTCGCACTATGCTGGTGAGCAGGCCTCGAAAATACACCATTCCACGCGCCTTCCACGCTTATTGCGCGCGTACCCACCCCCATGGCTACCGCAGACAACGCTCCTGCCCGGAGTGCTGAGGCCTTGCAAACAGACGAAGTCGACTCTACACCCTCCACCCCCACGCTGGCACCCGCACACGAAAACCACATGGCGCACGATATATCAGACGCCGACGATGTCAGGGCTTTCGATCAGCCCGACTCGGATCTCCCGCCGCTACCCACCGAAGAGGACGACAGCATCATACACCATGTCATCGACGAAGAAGACGCGCACAATGGCGAAAGCGTGTTCGAGGATCGCGAAATGCAGCGCCAATTGATGGACATTGAATCGAGCTTTATTCCCGAGGCGCCTGTCCAGGTCGAAGCACCTCAAGGACAGTCCGGCGTAGACGATACCTACCTGTTCGGGGGCTCACCTGGGAATTCCCAGCAATCGGCTCGACCCATGGACGACAATGCGGACATGCAAAGAGTAATGGACAATCTGGAGGAGCTGACAAAGCCAAAGAAGAAGCCGAAGAAGCTTGAAGTGCGCAGTGGGAATACACCGACCAAGTCGCAAGCCAGGCACAGCCACCATAGCAACTCCTCCTCCTTTTCCGAGGCCCCGACGCCTGCCGACGCTTACAAGACGCCTGCTGCTAGACGTCTGGACTTTGGAGAAGATGACTCAATGGATGCGAGCACCGCGACATCAGAGGTCGCACCTTCCTCGCCCGCTGCAGAAGCCGCGCATCGAAGCCAATCACGCGCGTCGGCAGGCAGGACTACAGAACAAGCAGCGGGAGGAGAAGCCGTGCATCAGATGGACCAAGCTCCTCCAGCTGCTCAGCCAAAAGAAGTGGACGTGCGACGGCCGACATCCAGTGCCTCGACAGTGAAAGCTCCCGATTTTTCACAGATTGAAGAAGGTTCTTCTCTCACGAACGAGAACGATTCTAGCGTGGATAGCTCAGCCATGCCTCCACCACTGGTTCCCGCGAGCGCGCAGAAGATCAGCAAGCGACCCAGCTACCTACAGCACCGCGGTTCAAGCCAGCGGTCATCCGTATCGTCCTTCACCAACCGTTCCGATGCGTCTGGAGATGGCGGAAGCAGTGCAAGTCTCGGCGCAGACTATGCTTTGCAGACTGGTGGTGCTATTCCTCGCTCGAGCGGACCACGGGGGATGAGCCTAGGACTGTCAAGACTGCCGAGCTTGGGTAGCATCGCCTCGTCGATGTCAGGATACAGCGATACCAACCCTTGGGAGAAGGGTCGGAGTATTAGCACAAACTCACTATCCGCTTTTCTTCAGCCGGATAATAGTCTGGGTCGTCTGGACGAGGAGGTGCCCAACAGTGCGACCCCACCAGAGACACCACGCGCTCCTAGTGTGCAGCCTGCCGCTCCCACCGACACAGTCATTGCTAGACACGTCCAGGATATACAAGTGCCAGACTCTATTGCACGCGATTTCCGAGCTAAGCACTCGCGATCGCCAGACAAACGACACATGGCTACCCCCTTCACTCGGAGCAAACACAATCTCACACTGAAGGAGCAGAATAGCAAGATCGACAAGCTCAGCAAAGAGAACTTTGATCTCAAGCTCAAGATCCATTTCCTCGATCAAGCGCTGCAGAATCGGTCTGATGAGGGTGTCAAGGAGATGATCTCGAAGAACGTTCAATTGCAAACTGATCTGGCGACAGAGAAGAAGGAAAGTCAGTCGATGCGTAAGAAGATTCGCGATCTGGAGCGAAGGCTTAAGGCTCAGGAAGAGGGACACGCTACCGCTAGAGACGTCGGCAGCGGCTCAGAAGATGGAAGAAGTGTCCAGTCATCCAGGCAAGCCGAATTGGAGGAAGAGATTGAGTTTTTGCGGGAGCGTCTAGAGTCTACGGAGATCACAGTGGACCAGTGGCAACAGGAGGCTCTTCAAAAGGAAGCTGACAATCGACGCATGGCTGATTACATCAAGACCATGCGAGAGAAGAGCTTTGGTGAAGACTCTGCTGGTGTTGATGAGGCTATCAACATGTGGAAAGAAGACTTCGAAGAGGAGCGTGCGAGGCGGGAGCAGGTGGAGACGCGCTGTCAGCAAGCAGAGACCGAGACCGAGAGGCTTCGAGAGGAGCTTGAGCGTCTGAAAGAACAAAACCAGCAGATGCAACAGATGCATCACTCGACAACGAACAATCACATGAACAAGGTCTTTAACAACTCACGGCGCATGCATCAATCTTTTGCTGCCCGTTCGAACTCTGGATCTGACGGCAATGAGAACACTACACCAGTCTCGCTCGGCGGCACAAGTAGTACTTTAGTGGAACATCTACAAAGCGACAACGAAAAGCTGCAACGAGATCTCCACGCACAAGCTTCCATGCTCACTTCAAGGAACCGAGAGAATCTTCGACTGAGGGAAGAGAACGAAGGCCTGAAACTCACAATTCGCAGAGGAGATGCTGGATCGACAGCCGGCGATAGCATTCTGGAACGATCCATCTCCCGCAACCACATGAGGTCTGTTTCGAGAGCAAGCGGCGGAACACGTTTGACCCAGCAAAGCGATCCCGATCGAGAAGACTTCGAAAGCAAAAATGCTGCATTGCGAGACGAGCTATCGCAGTTGAAGCTTTCATACAAGGAGCTTGATGACCAGCTCAATGGCCATCTCGACATGCTTGAGACCACCGAGAACAAGGTCAAGGAGCTGGAGAGGGAGATAGAGGCACAGACAGAAGACCTACAGGCACTAGCAAGCGAGCGTGACGAGGCACTGGAGCTACTACAAGACAAAGAGCAGGAAACTGAAGAGCTCAGACAAGAAGCCCTAGATACGGTGCAAAGGTTGGAGATTGACCTCGAGCAAAAGCAAGCGGAACGTGACCGTCTTTACAACGATCTGGAAAACACCACTGAAGACTTCCATGCTCTACAACAAGAAATGAAGAATGTCAGTGAGAGTCTTTTGCAGCTCGAAGACGATCGGGATGCAAGCCTTCGCAAGATCCAGAACCTTGAATCAGAACTTGGCGACGCCAACGAAGAACTGAACAGGCAAGACAAGCTCCTTAGTGAGGAGAGGTCGAAGAATGAACGACTTGACGTCCAACTTGAGTCTTGTCAGGGTGAGATCGATTTCCTGAGAGAAGAGCAAGAGGGCGACAAGATCAAGATTGGCGAGCTGGAATCAGCCCTGAACCATACTCAAGTCACGCTACAAGAGGCTAGAGAACGTTCTCGGGATCTTGAGGAGCGTATGGCCGAGGAGAGGCAGCAACGCGATGCCTTGGAAACCCAGGAGAAACAGGAGGTGGAGAAGATCATCACCGAACTCAATGGTCAGTTGTCGAAGCTCAAAGAAGAGAGCAGGAAGCTACGAAAGAATCTCTCAAGTAAGGAAGTTGAGGCATCTACTTGGAAGCAACGGCATGACGAATTGGAGCAAATGCTTCGTGAGTCACTGGGTAACCTCAACGGCACGAGGTCGAGCCTCTTCAAGGTAAGTGACGTTACTCCTGATCACCTAGAGACACACTAACTGATCGTTCAGGATATCGCAAAGCTTCAACGAGATCTTCAAGCGACTATGCAAGAGCTCGATGTCGTCAAAACCGATCTTGCGGAGAAAGACCGTTTGCTGCGCAACCGTGATGCTCTCTTGGAGAGCACTGGCATGGAAAGTCGCCGTCTTTCAGAGCTGCTCGAGCGCGAACGTCAAGGCCGTCGACAAGACCAAACAGCATTCGAGAACGCCAAGCGTGGTCATCAATCCACTACCAGGGCGATCCAACAACACGAATCGAGGGTTCTGGAACTTGAAACCCTTCGTAGTCAGGATCGGCAGAGGCTTCACAGTCTAGAGAAACAGTACAAGGAGCAGCTGCTCGAACGTAACAATCTGCTATACGCTCTATGGAATCGACTGTCCACTCTTTGCGGCGCAGAATGGTCCCGCAACAACGCTCTCATCAACGGGGAACTTACTTCCATGGAGCTCATTTCCAGGAACGTCCAGGGCTTCCACAAGAACATCATTCTTGCGGTGAGGACCGTGGAGGGTGTCATTGGTGCCTTTAAGCAAAGAATTCGCAACATAGAAAACAATCTAGTCCGCGACTACCAGACTCTCGAGCATAGCCTAGACTCTCGCGCCAAACGACTTGATCAGCTCGAGAAGCTTGTCATGGCGCAACGACAATCGATCGGAAGACCTAGTACTGTCCGTGGCGGTATCGTCGACCTCAACACCGCGGAAGTCAACAAACTGCGCACTGAGAACAAGACCTTACGATCCGAGGTCCAGACCCTCCGCGCCATTACCGCCACGACACAGTCCGGCAACGATGTTATTGTCAGCCGCTCACCATCACGTGCTGCCTCGCCGACCTCTTCCAAACGTGCCAGTATGGCGCAAACACTGTTGCGTGCTCACTCCGCTTCCGTCGTGGAGCATTTTTCGACTTCGAATTCGTCGACACCGACGCCAGGCCATCCCTATCCCGCCGCTGGACCGCTTCAGCCAAGTGAACAGAAGTGGATACATCGACTTAAGGAACTCGAACGGCGTTTGAAGGCCGAGCGTGAAGCCCGACTCCTTGACCGAAGCGGTGCCCGCAAGAGATTAGAGCAGAAAGTAGAAGAGAATGCGGACCTCAGGGCTGCGCTTGAGAAGGAGAGGGACCGTCGAGACGAAGATGGCCCAGATAATGTCCAAAGAACTGCGTCTGCGAGTGGCAGTCGCATCGGTGGAAGTGGACGTGCCAGCGTGGTTGGCAGCGTGAGACACACTAATGGCAGTGGCAAAGAGAGAGAAGAGGAGATGTACTAGTACATTTCCTATGTGGACTTTTTCCCTTCTTGTACCAACCTTTTCTTCCTTTCTTGATAGACGCTTTAGCGATTTGCGTTCGACTTCCCGCTTATCTTTTCTTACGACATAACGTGTGACGAGGTTGCTTGGTCGGCGCATGTAGGCATTATAGGTACATTTCACGGGGCATTCGTTGCATACCATATATTAGAGTAGTGGGCGTATAGCATGTTTGTAATTGAAGGTGTTTCCTTACAATCCGTAGTACATGGTGTGTTTCCAAATATATGAGTATGCCAATCATGACTAACTTCTTATAGACAGCATCTCCATAGCAAATGAACACCCATGTAAAGCAGCCATCCAATGTCATGTGTGGGAGCAGATCACATCGGGCAGAGGTGAGCTAGATTGATCGAATGCCTTATCGGCTGCGGCTCATCAAAAGGCCACCTTTACCCGCCACCCGCTACCTTGTGATGGAACTGTCAATCCTCTCGGGTTTTTAAAAAAGAGCTCTCATTCCTCTTCAGCCTAAGTGTTTCCGATTCCTCTATCGTCGCGAAGCATTGCTGGGGCATGTGACAGACACCGGCAAACAGCATACTCGCCTCCAACGACTCTCTCACCGCTCTACTACCTATCGGTTAAGGCATAGTGTAAGGCAGCATCCACAGAAGCTTGCATCAGCGACACTTTAGCTACTACAAGTACGTTCTCTACTGCCCAAACTGCCCTCTCACCTTCACCGTTGTTGCGTACGATACACACGATACGATACGGAGATACCTTTTCTCAAGATAGAAACTATGGGCTCTAATACTAATCTTACCTGCAAATACCAGACCGCTCGCGAGCGCTTATCTATAAACCGAAGCAGTGGCCAGTTGGCAGCCTCGCCTAACCTATCCATTGGTGCTCCATTACCAAGAGGAGCGACGCCAACACACTCACAAATCCTGCCTGCATCTGGTCTGTTTGCTAGTTTACTATTCGATCGCCAAAAGGTATACCAACATCAATCGCCTAACTCCACGATACCTCCGACAGCACGAACAGTCGAAACAGAAAAGATCAGATCAACTGCGCGAGAGAGTGAAGCTCGTTCTGATTACACCTCGCCGAAATCCTCCAGGATTCATGTGCACCATCTGAAAGAAGCACGTCCTGGCTACTTGAAGCCTGCCATGATGTCGAAGATACCTACAGTGAGTGAAAAACGAGGGCGGCCGACTAAGCAAATACCAACTAAAAACGTTGGAAAGACTACCATAGAAAAGCCAAGGAAGCGCACTACACCCGCGCATGTGACTCCTCCGCGAGCAGCGAAACGTCAGAAGACCGAGGCAAACAGCAAGAGAAAGCTGGACGACATGGGCAGCATGGGCAGCAACATGTCAACTATGTGGTCGACGACAGTTAATAAGGAGGTCGAGGTCATCGCTTTGTCCGACAGTGAAGACGATGAACATCAGCATATGCGACAACGAAGGATTACCCGTAAAGAGGATGTGATTGCGGAATTGGATGGATCGAAAGTCGACATTGACGAGGACGCGAAGCCCAGGATCTCTGATTCCGTGGTGAATCCAGAACCCATTCACCGCGGATCAACACCAAGACTTTCGGCCTTCGAAAGATTTTCTTCTGTCGACCGATATTCCGACATATCTTCCAGATGGAATTTCAACAACGTCTCTCCTCCAAAAAGCCCACCCAACTTCTGCCCCGCAAACCTATCTCTACGGCACAACCAGCAAGACAACATGGCGGGCTCAGAAGAGAAGCACACTAATGAGAAAAAACAGCTGCGTCAGGAACTCGACGCCGTCAAGACCGAGCTCGCTCGACAGAAGATGCTCCACGAGAAGGAAAAGAGCGACCGTGAGTTGGCCCAGATTCACTCCAACAACGCGACTGGTCAACAGCTCCAAACTCTTCACCGCGACCTCGAGACGGAGCGAGGAACCCTACGAATGGTGAACCAGGACAGAGACCGGCTGGGTATCAAGCTCGACAATGTCAACGCAAGGAACGGCCAGCTAACTGGAGAGCTTCAGATCGAGAAACAACTGAGGAAGGATGAGAAGGCAGAACACGAGCGCATACTAGAAGATGTCATGAACACCAAGGCAACTTTCGGTTCCGACAACACCCATCTGATCCAAGAAAATGAACGCCTTCAAGTAGAGAACGAGAGCCTCCGAGCCTCCGCCGCGCGCACGTTCACGTTCAAAGCTTCGCAGGTAGCCCAGGCGCCGGCATACCCCTCGATCTTCGCTCCCGAAGCCTCCCAATCCTCCCAAGTCGTCGCCCATCTCCCTTCGCCAGCCCCGTCCTCAGTCAACACACCCTTCGAACTTACCGACCAGCAGAAAGCAGACAACCTCAAGAGGAACTACCTCAATCTCAACGAGCGCAACTCACGCCTCAAATCTGCCGCTGAAAAGCTCACTAACTGCACTAAGGGCATGGATCTGACTAGCTTTGGAGAGTTCGGAATATATCTAAGGCAGATGAAGGCGGTTATGGATGGTGATGCCAAGAAGGGCAAAGAGAAGATCGAAGACAAGGCCAAGAAGGACGAGGATGATGCCAAGTGAGACGGCTCGTCAGCCTATCGAGAGCATGAAGCATCGCTCTAGTGACAAGCTAGAAGCTATGGCCTGGGTATTACGGATATTGAGTTTGTGCTGCGTAGCGACGAGCAGCTTTTCTAGTATGGGAAAAGTGGATTGCTTAGATGCACATGAGTCGGCCGGTTTGCTTAGAGATATCTCATTGCAGATGATGTCTTGGGGGGGATTTGCACGTGGGCAGCAAGGCGGCGTGGCTGAAACCAGGGCCTCATATGAATGCGATCATCATCTTCATACAGAGCGGTGCCAACGCTTCAAGGATGAGACAGCTGTGACGTGAACAAAATGGCTATTGGCTGACTCCTGACAAAAGTAGAATGATGTAAACTCAAAGTAGGCGGTGAAGGCCTCAGGAACATTAAGAAGGCTACAGTTGGGTAAGAGCATACGATGTATCCGCTGGGCTTATATGAATGAGATCTTGCCAGTCAGGGCCTCAAAATCCATAGTGAACAGTGACGCTGACGCCATCAACAATACATTGCCATCCAGGGTACTGTTAAAACAAGTCAGCATGGTGACGAAGACATGTTTCCAAAGAACACTCGGTATCTCGCATCTCAAACATACCTTTGCCCTAGCCCACACCAAAACACGATCACCCGGCTCCAACGCATCCAAAAAGCCTTCTCCACTCCCCGCGCCCTCGTTGCCCTCATCAAACTCACACAAACCACCTTCATCCCAAGCAACATGATAGTCCTGAGTGCCAGCCATAACACGATTACCCTGCAAGTACCAAGCAAAATGCCCCTCACCACCCTGCGGCCCCTGCAGCGCACTCTCAGGCCTCTTGACAAGCGACCATCCCCGACCCACCATGTTAGTATGATAATCCATCGGACTGCTAATCCAAGTATTAACCAATCGCGGCGTAGGAAGCAGACTATTAATATTCGATGCATCGCGCAAGATGGACACTTCAAGCCATGACGATGTGGAAAAGGTACCCTGCGTGTTCTCGCTCGTCCAGCCTTGGTCTTGACTCGTGATGTCGAAGTCGATGCGCTTGATTTTTGCTGTTTCGCCACCTAGACTGGCTTCTTTCACGATGGGGGTGGAGGAAGGGTTGGCTTCGAGACAGAGTGTTGCTGCCGATGGGTTGTTCATGCCGGCGCGGGCGATGATGGTTCGGCCTGACCGGGAAATCTCTGCGATGGGCCAGTATTGCGCGTGCTCTAGTATGCTGAGGACTAGTTCGGTGGGTAGTTTGAGGGTCTTGAGCACAGCGCGAGCGCGACATACGTCGGCGTAGGTTGGTGTGAAGGGGCCAGTTGGTTCGGGTGGACCTAGCAGCCAGTGCACACTCGGAAGCATTTGGCGGATGCTACTGAGGAAACTCATTGTCGCGAAGAAGGGTAGCTTTCTGGTTTCAATGCGGTCATGGGTAAGTCGTTGTGTGTCCAGAAGCAGGAGGCAGTGCACGGTTGGGGAAGTTGCCTTGCGCTAGCAGGGGTCGCTGTTGAAGGGCAGGAACTGGCGAGATGATATACCGGTTTTGGGTGCCACGGGCGTGATGATTCAAGAACTATTGTGTTACATTCGTAGTATGCATCACGTACACTTCAACTATGGGACTGGCACCTGTCACTTCCGCGAATTGGTTGCTCACAAGTAGGCCTGAAAAAGTTGGAGGATGGAATCGCTCGTAAGAGCATAACCCTCACACACAACATTCTCAATGTCGGTCATAGCCGTAGACTGCACTATACCGTCATGCTGCTTTGACGTATGTTTGGCTCAAAACCCAAATTTGCTCTTCATAGCACCCATGACTAGCCCTCTCTTCTGCTTCCCGACAAACTTGTTGACATCATTCGCCCAACCTGCACTATTTTGCGAAAGATTGTCCATACTGTCTCCGACGATGTTCAGCTTCTCCGTGCGCTCGTTGAGCTGGCGAGTAGCCCAGGCACCCCATCCTTCTTGAGTTGGGGATACTTGAGTAGGGTAGGATTGATATCCAGCGGCAGAAGAGCTGGCTGAGGTCGGATTGGCGCGGCGTCGTTCCTGCTCTGCCTCTGCGCGCTGCTGCGCCATTTGGCGATTTGACAGGGGCCGATCAGGACCACCGACTTAGACATGTCAGTACTTGATTGTGAATAAAGAAAGGAATAGCTTACTCAGAAGATCCATGTCAGCTGGTGTCACGTATTGAGTGCCTGAGATCCATTGGATATTGCTGATGGTGGGTCGTGGCGGAATCAACAGTTCTGGGTTAAGCAAGACATCTTTGGCGCGTTCGCTAAAAATCGGTCAGTACATGTGTCATAGTTAGGGAGACGACTCAACTTACTATTGCAGTCCCGTTCCAAAGACGTTGACGAGAGCCATTTCCGCAGGCCCTTTCCAGCCAAAGATGTCGCCAGTACTTGTGATGACTGCCTCGGAGAAGCGCCTGACATCTAAGAACTCGCTGAGGTTGACTGACCCGATCTCCTTCAAAGCAGGTAGCGAATGCGCTCTCGCACATCCATCTCCATACAACCCAAGCATTGCGTAGCCCTTGTCTTCGTACCTCACCACAGTCGCAGCATCGCACAAGAACTGATCAAAGGTTTTGTGCGCACCTTTACTTGTGGCGGGGCGGAATAATCTCGCGCCTGAGGCTGTTGTGGCTAAAAGAACACCGCTAACCTTGGAACCAGTCCGAAGTCCAGCAACGGCAGACTGTGAGGCATATGCTGGGCGACCAGTTTCGGCGTGCATGGGGCTAATGCTGATAATCTTGTCGTCTAGCGAGCACACCCCCGCAGGCTTTACTGAGTATTGGCCACTTGATTCCGGCAGTAGCTTGAAGGTGGCCAGATGACCAAGATTGGTGCCGACGTGAAGTAGAATGCTGGAAAAGTCGTCATCTTCGAGTGTCATAACACTGAACTCAAGGCAAGTGGGCCACTCCGCTTTGGGTGCTGCCTGCGTTGAACTCCGTCGGAAGCTGGCGCGTTTGTCCGGCTTGACGAATTCTTGTATCGATGCTCTGTAGATGACAGCCGGTCCTCGCAAATCAATAATGGCCAGACTGCCGCCCTCAAAGCCTGCAGCAACAAATCCAACATCAGAATGCTTCAAGGCGGTGACTGGTCCATTGCCCTCCTCAAGCAAAGTGAAAGGCAGCAGTCCTTCTTTGAGAGCCGCTTCACTTCTTTCTGAGATATTGGTAAGCGCTTGCGGTTTATTGTCACCTGGTGGGTACTCCTGTCCAGCATGCCTGTTTACACCCCATCTGAACACCACTACTTCACCACTCTTCAGCCCTACGGATAACTCAGATGCTGCGCCTGCGAACGAGGTTTGTGTGACGTGTATATGCTCTGGGCGGCCGACCGCTCGAGCTACGTCTACCTGTAGCAATGCAGGGTTCTCAATCTCATCGGCGTGTCCTGCATCCCATAGTCTGATTGTGCCGTCTGCATGAGCTGTCTGGACGATGTTTCGGTTCTCAAACCGCTTGAGGGGATGAACAGCCTCGGCACCACCGATGAGGAATTGCGGACCGTGTTGGCGCTTTTCGGTCATGCCAAGCCACCGTGTACGCTCTACAGGTGCAAGATTTGCATAGTTGATGTACGGATGAACAAGCGTCATGGAGAGGTGCAGTTGATTAGTCGGCGTGATGGGCATTCCGCTTGGAAACGAGAGGGTGATCAACTCCCCAGAAGCGAGTAACGCGATAATGGCAATGGGGTCGTGGCAGCCAGCATAATGAGGGGAAGTCCTTGGAATGAGGAAAAGGTCCACTACTTCCGTTCCAGGCGGACATGGAAGGATCCTTTGCCTCTTGGGGCTTTCGAAGTGATCGGATAGTACTTGCCAGGACGCGGTCGCATAGACTGGTGTTCGACCCAACTCGAACAGCGTCAGACTTTTGGCGGAGATGTTGGATGGCTGTCCACCAGCGATGAGGATAGCGGTATCGTCGGGATCCTGGTTCGCACACCACGCAATCTTGAAGATGGGGGACTTGAGCGCGAACGATCCTTCAACGGCACCTGGGCTGAAGCTGCCTGGGCCAGGCTTGTCTACGTTTGTATCGGTCAAGGTCCTCGCTTGTACGATGCGGCCATCTTTGGAGTCCCATATAACGATACTGCTGTCTTCGTGCCCAGTCAGAACGAAGGTGCCGGTTGGGTGCCAGACAGCCTGGGTCAGCGGAGGTTCGCGGTCCTTGGAGACGGAAACGGGATCGGAGTCGCCTCCAGGGGCTCCTTTGGGGACCACATAGTTGAAGAAATGCAGGGCCTTGTTCTGCTTGAACGAATAGATGACTGCGCCGGAATTGTACCCAATCAGGAGGGACCCGATATCTCGAGGGTGGAGCGAGAGCGTAACAACGGAGGTTAGGCGCGAGCGTGGAAACTTTTCCCTCCACAAGTTGGGTATTTTGAAGGGCGTAAGCGCTTCTCTAGCCAGATCATAGGCGTACACCTCGCCGTGCTGCGTACCGAGGAGCGCATAGTCAATAGTAGGGTCGCAATGAAGCGCCGTAATTTTAGCGGGGGGAGAATGGGCGTTGAGCAGCTTCTTCGTCTCGAGCGAAAAAACAGACAAGTCGTTCTTCGAGTCTACGCACAGCAGCTTCTCGGCGCAAAACTGCAGGATCTTGATCGAGGCGTTGCGCGCGGGCAGCGACAGCACCACTTCGACCCTCTTCTGTCCGAATACGTAGATCTGGCCGGGGCCATACTTGCTGTCGCTCGTGCCGACGGCTAGGAGGGATTGGACGGGGTCGTATGCAACTTGGGTGACTTTAGAGTTGATGCCATAGTTGCGGATCTTCACGTGCTGTTAGCTTGCGCGTATAGGGCTGGGGGAACGGCGGGGCGAGAAGACAGCGAGCGCGTACATGGTCGAGCACAAACAAATCAGGGCCCAGGCCCAGGGAGAGGTCGTTGCTGACACCAGCCTGCTTTCCACGCAAGAGATGAGCCATGGTGGTGTGTGGGTCTCATGGTTTTGTCCGCAGAGGCAGCGATGAGGACTGCCATCAGCGACCGTCCGCCCAGCTGCCTCGCCGGAAGGAACGCGTTGCGCGACGTCATTTCGGCAACTCTAAGCGCAATGCAGGGTCCACGCCACGTCACAGCCACAGCTAGCAGTCATGGATAATGCTCGACATGGTCTCCTTTTCAATAAATCTGTTGCTTGCTCAAAAAGGAGAGCCCGTTCAACTATGATACGCTGGCCCAATTAACTACGTGACATGCGTTGTCTACAAAGGCAACAATGCCGCTGCTAAACAAGAACATGTCCAGAAATGATAGTCCTCCCTCTCATTGCTACTGCCCGAAACGCCAGAAGCTGATCTATGGTATCCAGAACACCATGCAAATCCATACTCACTCATCACAACACCCTACGTCGACATAGAGGCACCATTAGCGCCATATATGGAGCCGTTGGGAGGTTGCGGCGTCCCTGACCCCTGCCTACTGCTACTAAAACTATTTTGTGCCGCAAGCCGGGCTTGTGCCTGCTGCGCTTGTTGTCTCTCAAGCATCATCTGCTGAGGGTTGCCGCCTGCGCCATTGTAGGGAGCAGCGGCAGCAGGCGCCTGGGGAGTCGCGTATTGGGAAGGACCGTAGTATGTGCTGCGCATCTGCCCTCCAGACGCGGGTGTGCCATATGCTGGCCGTGTACCATAAGCCGATGGCGTGGGCGCGCCCTTCATGGGTGACACATTCCGTGGCGGCGGTGGTTGCGCGCCATTGTACATAGGTGCCGCATTTTGTGAGCGAGGGTAGAAGCTGCTTTGGTTCTGCTGTGATGCATAACGGTTCTGACCCTGTGCGGGTGTAGAATTATAGTACTGTGAGCCAGTAGCTCCCGTGTAGCTGCTTGGCTGTGCGGAGCGTTGCGGGAAGTATTGGCCAGATGGAGTGGTTCCATAGCTTGGTCGCGGCGTTTGTTGGTTGTACGAGGGGGTTGCAGAGTACCCCGGCCGAGAGTTGGGAGCATAAGACGCGCCACCCGGTTGGAATGTCTGCGCCGCACCTGAAGGCGAGCGTTGTAGGTGCATCGACGATGATCGGTGGAGGGACTGTGGTTGCGAGTACACTGGACGAGCGCCTGACTGAGGCACCGACGGCGCTGGACGGCTGTACTGGTGCCCAGCTGCGGGATAATGCGCGTTGGTCCCAGAGCTCGTTCGCGCCAGAGTAGCCGGCGTTGCAGCAGCCATTCCTGGTGTCTTTGCAAGTTTCGATAGCTGATCCTCCTCCAAGACGCCCTTGTACTCTTTAGTGTCGAAGAGGATCGTTCGACTAATGTTCAGTTCGTCCATTTGGTCCCCATTGAGTTTGGCGACTGCATACGGCGGAAGCTGCGAGATCAACAAGGTGAGCTGTGACTTTAGTATCTGATAGACGTCAAACTCTTCCGACGAGGGTGTAGATGGGCTGCCAGCCAGGGTCGCGAGTGAAGCATTTTGTACAACAGGAGTACGTGGGTTGGTTGTGAGGGAGAGATTTCGTATCCTTTGGTACGAGGCCAGTGTCTCGAGAAGCTCCGATATCTCCTTGAGCACCTCATCGGTATCTTTCTCTTCCTCGGTCTGTTCTGCCATTCCAGGTAACACGTCTCCTTGAACCGGGGTGAAGTTCTCGACGGCCTCTTTAAATAGTTCATCCTCATCGGTGGTCCCGTTGGTAAGTGTTTGCTTGGCCTGCTCAGGGTCGAGTAGAGCCGGATCGATTGGGAACATTTCGTTGAAGCGCTTCTCACCCACCTTCTGCCACCATACCATGTTCTTAGTCTCCTCTGGAATAATTGCGGAGCTGTCATCCCGAGTTGGCGCAAAGCTGGAGTAAGCACTGCGAAACAAGGCATCTTCCTTGGCTTGTTGGACTGCAACAAGGATCGCTTCGGACGGTGGTTGCTGCGCCTCGCCCATGCTCAACGCCCGTTGTCTACTCTTTTGCTTCGCTGTTGGTGAGGTCTGGTCTCTGGGCATATCTACCCCGGCATATCCAAGCCAAAAGCCTGAAGACAGGTTCTGATGCGCGTGCGACTGGGAGCCCTTGCGACGAGGTTTGGGAGCTTCCTGGTGCGCAAAGGTGATGGTGCTGTTGCCTTTGCTTGTTGTTGGTCGGGCAGACTTGGGCGGACTGATTTGTGGCAAGTGGGCAGGCGCACGGAAGACCTCTCCAATAGTCGCGACCTTCTTTTTGCTATCTGATTCTGAGATGGGGTATACCTCTGTCGTCGAAATAAGGTTGGGGAGGTTCGTCTCGCGCAAGGGTAGAGTCACCTTGACGGCGGTGTCGAGCGTGGATATTCCATGGGCGGGGGATATTTTCTGGGGTTGCTGCAGACTGGAGAATAGCTGTTTCGGCGGTGCACTTCCATAGAGCGTGAGAACAGTCCGGCTCTGTGGTATCTCTGCGTCTTGATCTTCCTCCTTTATCGGCACCGGAGCGCTCTCCTCTCCTGAGGCTGAAGCGTCGGCATCGCCGTTGACTTGCTTTGCTGAGCCAGATGCTTTGCGCGTCTCTTCTCTAGTCACGAGGTTTTTCAAGACAGTCTGGAAGGCAAGCACTTTGCCTTGCAGCGCTGTGTCTTGAGGCGATGTATGGGCTGTCGACGAATCGCTTGGGCCGCTGGATGCCAGAATCTCGGTGGTAGCGCTCTCGACATCCTTCTCTAGTGCGTGCAGAGAGTCGTAGGAGCCGTCTTGTATCAGGTTGCTGATGGTGGCAGGGCCGTTGGGTGGGGTCAGCTTGGTGCGCTTCGAGTCGGCTTCTCCAGAGGCTGATCGCGTAATCGACGAGGTGATGGGATGCGACAAGATGGAGGGTTTGGTGTCGTAGCTATTCAGTGTCAACATGCGATTCAGAGGTGCGGGTGAGCCAAGCCAGCGCATTCCGTGCATGGGCTGCTGGCATGATGGCGAGAACGCGCGGGAGCGGGGAAGTCTTCGCAGGCGGCATACCTCTTGAGAACTGCCAGTATGTCTCCTAATACTGCCTGCAGAGAGCGTGCGCTGGCATTGGCGCTCTCTCCCGGTGCAGGCGTGGATGCGCCATTGACGGCAATGGCAGGACGCTCTGCGAGTTTCCGTTTGGCGGCAGCGGGCGAGTTGGGCGCCTGGGGGAGCGACGGCGGGGTGAGGGTGCCGTTGGCGGCGGCCATGGTGACTTTGGGGTGCTGTTGGCGATGCGCGAGTGATGGCGTGGGATGGAACGCGCTCAGGGCGGCCGGAGTCGTGCTTAGGCGGTTTCCTTCACAGCATTCCCTGTCCGCGATACCGGCAGGCGCGATGCTGAAATTTAAAGAGGCGCGTGACGGGGTCCAAGACGGCTTCCGGTGACGCGCAAATGGTGCCTAGGGGTCGGGCGTGCTGTTGGCGACTGTCCAAAGTTGACTTGTCTTGGTGGAAGTAAGTGCAGCGATGAATGGAACGCGCAAAGGGCAGCGCCAAGACCGCGCCGCAGAGTGCCGCAGGAAACACTACCTGGCAATTGCTGACGACGATGGTGATTCTTTCGCTTGTTAAATGGCCCCTGTATTCCTGTTTGCTAATTCATGGGTGTTCGTTCTCCACACGCATATCGCTCCTTTGGGTGACGATGTCCAAGTCGTCCACGGGTGGTTTGCGACTGTAGCATGCTGCGCTAGTGACGATGGGGCATGAGCTACCCACGATTTTCTCACTGCACTCGACAACTCTCCGCAATTGGTTTTCGCACGCGTCGCTCCACGTCTATTGCGTCTGATGAATGCCCTTAGTACTCTCCCTGGTAGCTCCAGGTAGTCCGTACCGCTTCGGCCGTCGTGTGACGCGCCTCCTACCGCACTGGGTAGGCCCGCTCGCCATGTTCAAGGCTTACTTTGTACTGACCTGCTTCGCAAGTATCCTTGTAATCCCGTAACCCATCTTCCAAGGCGGGATATATCACTCCTTCCGATATGTCGTCTCGAGATTCCTTCGGCGTCCCCGCTCTCCCATCGCCCCGCGACGCGCAAACCCCGCTGTTTTATAGCCTCTCATCACCATGAGGTGCCTCATCGACTTTCGAGGCACTACTCCGTACCGACCCCTGAAGATGACACCTTCTTTGAGAGTCCCATGGATGCTTTTTCAAGCACTCTAGGTGTAGATGCTCCATCGGACGCCTCTTCGCCCTTACTGGACGTGCTCGAGGATGCAGAGGAGGATGGTAGATTTCGACCGCAATGGACCCGCGGCACGAGGAAGGCCAAGCGCCCCAGCAGACCTGCGACAGTCCTGAAATCAATGGACCGCTCGGCTAGAGACCTTTACTTCATTTCGTCGCCCTCTGCAACTGATTTATCCTACACTGCGCCCCGCTCTGCGTCGCGAGGACGCAAGCCAAAGACTGTACCTCGCCTCAGCACCGAGCTGCTTCCTGAACCTGTCTCTCTTTACTCGATTCTTGCCCGATATCTCCAACATCAAACGGCAACGGCAACGGTTGAGTCGACGTTCCAATATACTCCGCTGGAACTGGAGCTACTACAAAATCGAGGCTACACCGTTGGAAGTGTACAACGATGGGCTTCTTGTCTCGTAGAACCGCGATCGATTGTGGCAGTCAAATGCTTCGAACAAGGGGTCGAGATGCCACCTCTTTTCCTACTTCTACTGTTCCTACGTCGCAAGCACATCAGAGTACCTGCCCTTGGTATCGTCATGAGGCACGTTGATCGCATTGCGCAGTCAGAATCGATAACCTGGTCGGAGCTCAAGATCATTACGACCCGTTTACTTCGCCATGGGCGCGAGCTCTGGCCCGAGTCAATGCCATGGACTGCATCCTTTTTCGTTGCCGAAGCAAGCCGACTTTGCGATGGTTTTTCTGGATCCAATCCTCTATCCCCTACTATGCTTTCCGACTTGACGCAGTTTTGCAATACATTCCTGTCGCTACTATCGCTGCCCACTTCTGCTCGCCCTGTAGTCTTCGCTGCCCAACAAGAAAAGGCTCAATTCCAGATCCTTCAATATATGGCGAGTAGGTCGCCTGCAATAACAGTGACACGCCTCGGTTTTCGGTCCGTTGCGCGCAACCAGCTGGCACATGCGAAAACGCTTCAAGAGAGAGAATGGGCTGAGCTCAAAGGGCCTACCTGGCCACCGTGGAAGGAGAATCGCACAGCAATGGACGAAGATAAAGGCTACGAGTTTGGTGCTTCGCGAGCTTCCCAGCTCTTGCACCGTATGTATGAAGCTGGGTACAGCGGTCGCCTCTGGGAAGATGTAGCGCAAGTATACGCTGGCTGGGATACCGATTCTAGTCCTACGATACAGACTCGAACTTCTCTACCACGCATGTCCTCCCAGTATCGAGATGCTAAACACCTTCGTCCTCTGCTCTGGGCTGGCCGCATACGAACGACACGCACGCGTAGGGAGGCCTGGGCATGCTTCCTCTCACACGAGCTGTCTGGAGAACCTGCTCATCCGGATATCTATCTTGCAATGTTCGAAAAGTTGTATCATGCTGAAGCAGAGCGATCGACCCGCACAGAGTTCTCAACTGATGCAGAAAATACTCATGAAGAAGACACCACTCATATGTTACCCGGGGACATGAAAGAAGCACTCCCCGACCCGCTATCTACGTTGCACTATGTATATCTTAGCGAACCCGTTCCTGGCTACCGAGGGCTACTTAGACGGATGCAGACGGCACATGTTAAGCCTAAACGCCGCCTGCTTGCGTTTCTCTTAGAGACATGCCCAGAGTTCGACATGGGTCTAGATTTACTAGACATGGCTAGGGACATTCAACACGGCAGGGTAGGCCGAATGCTCGACGGCATTCACGACCAGTACACTTCAGGCAACTCGATCCCGGGTTTTCTTTTCAAGGCGATCATTGACTTCTTGTGTCGCTTTGGAAGCATTGATCAGTCGTCTTTTCACAAAGTTGATTTCCTACCCCCAGAACAGCATGTTGGTGAGCTCAGGTCGAACCGGCAATATTGTGTCGAATACGCCTATATGCTTCTCAAGTATTATCGACCGATCTACCGACCAGCCTGGGCTTGCATGATAAAGGTACTGGCATCTCAGAAAGGGCATAAGCATATTCTGAGTGTTGCTCGGTATAAGCTCATTTGTTCCATCGTTGAGTATATGGAAGAGATTGATCTTGACGTCGACGACGAGATATTCCGCCTGGTCTGTGTCGCGACTATGTACGCCGCTCAAGCCGTCGAACGAGGCTCCGCTTCTTTTGAAGATACACGAGATATTCTTTCCACTGCCTCCTCTCGCCTTCGTACGCTCTTCACTGGCCTAGTCGGTGCTAGTGCCGATATGCAGTCGCCTACGAGTGATCAGACAGTCAACGTCGTTTCGCCACACATTCCGGGGCCCGCAGAGCTACATGCCTATGTACGAGGGCTGGGTATTCTCCGGGATTATGAGGGTCTTTACTCATTCACCACCTGGTTCACCAAATATCATGCTGAGGTGACGGCACGTGCAGAAGCTCAACGCTCGGGCAGGCACCTTCTGTTCAAGACACTCGTGGCGTTGCGCTTAGCTGTCGATGGAGGAGGATCTGAATCAGGCAACGATCAAACATCTGGTGCACCAGAAGACATAGCACTTCTCATCAAGACACGGATCGAGAGTGTCGAACAGTGGGGCGGTTGGCCTGCAAAGGAATATGTGGACATGTATGCCAAGGGCCATCTGAAGTCCGCATCGCCCGTTGTTGGAGGACGCTAGAAGATTGTGGAATACGACACGTTCTATTCCATGCTTCTACTGCTCTTGATATATTGTAAAAGTAGATTACTCACGTATATCCGAGGATAACAACACTGAAATTAACCATTAACCAACGTGTTCGAGACCGCGGCGAGACCATTCTTCCAGCCATGCTGTTGCCTCTGCGAAATCTCCCAGCCACCCCACCTCTGCGTCTCCGCGCGGAAGAACGGGCAAGCCTGCTGATTGAAACCCCGAGGCACGTATACGGATGTTCGGAGTGAGCCCAATCTGGTGCGTTCTGCACAACAGCTTGGCACTTCTCCACGATCTCCACCGGTGCAGATCGCTCCCCATCTATCCCCTGTTTATTCGCGATATCTTCAAGACCATCACAAAATGACTGTAATTGGCTCTCATACGGCACAAGTGGAGGGTACGTGAAGCGGAAGGGTTTTACCTCCCTGCTGTTGCTGCGAGCGTTCTTCGCCCGTCTAACCCTCTTCCGGGCCTCGTGCCGCATTTGAGTGGGAACGTGTTGCGCATTAAATGCGTTCGGTACCTGGATCCTCGTATCAAACGGCTGCTTCAGACGGGTGGGATGGGTTTCGTAGATATCAGCCAGGCGGTAGAGTTCTGCTGCTAGCGTTTCTGCTCTGACTAGACGGAATTGCTGGTATATGTTGATGAAAGCTTCTAGTTCGTTGACAGACAACGTAGGATCGGTTTCGTAATCATGGCTTCCATACCACCTGGCATGAAATGAATCGGGTGTGATTTTGGCGAAGAGTTGTGAAGCTTGCGGATGTAATCTTGGTAGCATGGGTTCGACGATGCGGCAGTAGTCTTCGTGAAATGTGACCCAAGTCGAGGTGATGACGATAGAGTTTAGTTCCGCAAGCCAGCGTACCACCAGTTTCCCTCCCCCAAATTCAACTCGCTTACTACCTGATGTCCAGTCCGATTCGTGGTACGACAAAAAGGACAGGTCATCGTCTTTGAAGACGTCTGGTACATCGCCCTTGGTCTTTGGTTGACTGAAACACAGATATCTTACGCGGTCCGTAATTTAGAGAAGTGTTTGCCATTTACTTCTATCCTCGCTACGGAAGTATCTGCCCCAGAGCGATAGGCTGTTCCGAAGGGACCAAGTGAGACGTGGCCCGAAGAGCATTCTTCTGTGACATAGCCACACAAATTCTATTGCGTCCATCCAGTCATATCTATATACTTCTCAAACGGCGGAATCTTTATATCGAGTAAACCAACCATTTATTCTGCATACATGAATGTATCAAGAAAACGCTCTACTATAATGGTGCAGCCCTTGCTGTTGCAGGCATCGTATTTCGCAGCTACAGAAACACCAGAAGAGATATTCTGATGCTTGCAGGAAGATGAGGCACTCATCAACATTTGAAAGTCTTGTAGCTGGGCAACATACCATCTACCCGAGTATGAGACAGAGAAGAGGTCTAAAATTACCGCGTGTCTTGCACCCTCACCCGAAATGGGCCGCGACATTAAGGTATTCATATATGAGAACTGCCTCAGTAGGATGCGTCGATACTTGGACAAAGAGGCATCAAACAGAAATCCAGATGGAACGGTTTGAGCGATGGAACTGGCTGGGTATGCGTTACTTCCTTCGGGAGTCACGACCACCTGAACAGTCATCACACATCTGCAGAAGACTGCTACAATCCAGCACGGCACTACAGCTGACACTCCCATGGCACGGTTGGGGGAGCGCATTCATCCTAGTCGATCCCTCAGCCTCAAGAGCCTCACCGCCGATCCCAAGCATCTCGGCGAAGCTTCTTTAAGAAGATAGGCGGCGGGTAGTTGTGTACAAAGTAGGATGACTCGGCTGTTAGAGTGGGGGTCGGGTACGCTATCTAGGTAGTCGGGGCTTAGTTCCCGAGGTCCTGCGGGGGTGCACCCTGCTTCTTTAATATCTCATCACAATATGCACGTTCGACAGCAACTCTTGCGAGCACGCCAATTGGTGGACCGATTTTATATTGAGATTGTCGCCTGTTTACATATCGCACGTCTTCCTTTACCCATTACAACAAATAGCTCTCACCACGTCTCCACCATAGTCCCGTATTAGCCGTCCATCCATCAAAAGCCGCTGCCGACTCCCAAGGTCGAGCTGACCAAAATCTACTGCTTGTAGCAAGAGGTACGGAACTGAGCGTTCCAGCCACTGACAGTGCTGTACTTGCCACCAGCATTGCAGGCGGTGCCGACTTCAAGAGGGTTGTTCGGGTTGGTGGCACCATCGGCGCGGTGGGCGTTAGTGCACCAGCGCTGGCAGTCGAGGTTGCCAATACTGGGATCCTAGAGAATATCACAGATTAGCATTCAACATGGATTTCACCCTGTTCCGTTCCTGAAGGGTTGCTCACCGAGTAAACGCAGCAGTGCGAGCCATCTCCGAAGAGACACTGGCAGAATTGGGCAGCCTGGGCGCTGATGGCGCTGGCGATGAGCATAGTGGCGAGGGAGAGGATGCGGACCATCTTAGCGGTTTTGAGAAGTCTCAAAGAGGTAGTAGAAGATTGTGGAGTAGAGTGTATTCAGGTTGAGAGTCTTGGTGCTGTGCAGAGAGGGTGGTGCTCTGATATTTAAGCTTGTTCAAGCTCTTGCTTATATCTATAGATAAAGGAGCCGGCACTGATGTTTGGCCGAGTAGTGCTCTCATATCGCTCGAGATAGTGTAGTCAAATTAGCCCGGCCTCGTACGGTCGCTTTAGACCACCGGATATTCACAAGTGTCTGTGTGTTCTAAGGGTATCTCCGCGTCCGCAATCGTGACATACCACGGTTACCGGCAAGAGTATTATGGGTAGGAAACTCTAGCGTGTCGATTACAAGGGAGAGGAACAAGTCAACATAGGCCAACGCAGGGGTCATGACTAATACGAGAGACCACGCTCCCTTTTCGGCCGCTATATCAGATATCACGGGCTCACTAATCCAACGTCCAAGACTTGAATGGTTCAATGGGATCGGGTTTGGAAAGGTATCCACGATACCATCTCAACCACAAGTTGGAGAGAATATGTGCTAACGCAGGGGTTATAACGAATAGGAGAAACCACGCTTCCTTTTCGGTCGTTAATTCCAGTATCACGAGCTCACTAACCACGTGCTTCATCTACACGATGTTGGAGTCCTCAACGAAGAGACCACCGTAGATCTAGCCCTCATCAAGGTTGCTCTCCTAGAGACCAGAGTTGGCGACGTCGGAAGTACCCGTGAACCAATGGGCTTCTTGAGGATGCCCGTCTAGAACTGAAGACGTTATCTCGACTTGGCCAAAACTAGACTTTACAAAACTACCAGACTTTGGATTTCAATTCTAGGCAGCAAGCGCCTTACTCGCTACTGTCTGGAGGCAGTCTTGATGAGCTTCCTCTCATCCTCCCCTTGTGCCACCCGTGATTTTGCTTCCATCTGCTAGAGCGCGGCATGGCTGCAGTCTGCATGGTAGTGCATACCACAGTGAGCACACCGGCCCGGACTGCACAGATGGCGACCGGGTTCGGAACATCCAAGGCGCATCTTTGGCTGTATATTTCCTCCGTGCCGGTTTTGGTGATGTTGTGTGAATTGATGGCTCTGCCACAACCCTAGAAACGTCTGGTAGTACTGACTCGTGATGGTCCGAATTCGGCAGTCGGCACTTTCCTGCAAGCACAGTAGACCCTATTTGGCAGGTTCTTCCTTATTCGGTCAGCTGTTCGGTCATATTATATGCGCTGTTTTGAGCTGATCGGTGTACGTTCAAGGGTATCGTATGAAGACAAACGTGGGAATGTCTTTCGTATAATCGTTACTACGGTTCAAGTCCATGTAGGTTTTTGCGCACCATGGCCAGTGGTGTATTGGAGAGATTGCAGCTATCTCTATCGGAATATTTGCTCGATACAATCAGTTGTATCGTTGTGTATGTAAGAAGTGTGTGTCGTAGGTGTTGCTCTATGTGGGTATCTAAACATCGTTTAGATCCCGTCCGCTCCCTGACTTCCGCACTGACCCCCGAGCCTAAGGACCGTTCGGCCCTACCTAGGTACCTGGGTATCGTTCCACTGATTTCAACACCACAATGGATTCGGCGCGACACCTTTTTTTTCTACTCAGCTGACCATGACGTTTCATTGTGATAGACGAGATTCTTGAACTTGCGGTACTTCTCATTCTAGAGTATCTCCTTGCGCATGAGTCGTATGAAATGCGGACCTCTGGAAGGTACCCAGGTGTGGTTGGCTCGTCGTCTCGGGGTTGTCTCTGTTGTGATAGACGAACATGAGCTTGCCGTCTATATAAAGCAACATCGATTTTCTCGATATCTAACATACCGACACAGCATCTTCATTGCCCACAATTTTACGACCCTCCTCATCACACTCAATTACTCATCAACCTCGAGCCACGACAAAATGGTCCGACTCTCCATCGCCGCGGTTATCTTCGCCGCCATCACTTCTGTCGCCGCTGATGGATGGTGCCAATGCCTCTACGCGGATGGCTCCCACTGCTGCGTTACTGTAAGCCAATGATAACCCGAATGGAACCGAATAGGACATACAAGCGACCGAGTCTAACAATGTACTAGCAATACGGCATCAGGAAGGACTGCGTGGCGCGGTGCATCGACAACGGAAATTCAGACAACAAGTGTAACGCTGGTGGCAAGTACTCGGACGTTAGCTCATGGAACGCGCAGTGGCGCCGCTCCTGCACGGATTGGACCATTGGAAACGCGTAGGACAAAGGAGCTCTCCAGAACGCCTCGCGCAGTTCCTCCTAAGCAATCGTCTCTTTGAATCATGGCTTTCAATATAACAATGTACCTTCGCTTGGGTTTCCTCAGTTCTCGAGATCCTAGGACCTCGCAGGGAGGCTCCCATTCAATATAAACACTGTTCTGTAAATAGGGTGATCGCCGCGTGTAATTGATACATTGATGAGCTGTTCCAAACGAACACAAGTGCAATGTGATAGACTCCACGAGCTTACTTGAAGGGATCTAATGTGACCTATGCACGTTCCCCCGTGGTGTGCTTCGTAAATTCGCCGAAATGTGTCTATGACTCGTGTTATGTGGTCTCTTAGTCTGCTGGACTCTATAAAAATCGTGATATCTCCTGCAGCTCTACGAAACCCTCCACTCATCAACACCATCACACGATAACCCGATCCGACTACATCGTCCTCATCAACGCCCAACATGGTTCGCCTTCTCACTATTGCCACCGTACTGTTTGCCAGCGTAAGCAGCGTTGCTGCTTCGTATTGCCAGTGCCTTTACCCGGACGGCAGCCATTGCTGCGTTATCGTAAGTCGTCATGTACCGCTTCACACTCAAGCTTGACTTGCTCACAACTGTGGCGTTTTTAGGATAACCTCGTCGATGATTGCACCAGAATGTGCTTGAACGCGTCTCATGACCACACGACTGCTGGGCAGTGCAACGCCGGCGGAAAACATTCCAGTGTCAGCTCGTGGAACGCCCAGCACCGCTACCAGTGCCCAAAACCCTGGATCTACTGAGCTCCGTAATTCGTTCGCGCTATCGGTAAAGCTTCTTCGAAAGTCGTTCCCTGGGTGTACTTCTATCGGAGAAAGACGTGCAGTAGACACTTTCCGGTTATCAGGAGAAAGGATGCGACGTGGTACCCATGTGTTATTGGACAGCTTGTAGTTGGTTGATTAAGCATTGGAGGCTTGTTGAGAGCATATCAAAGGCGTGTACCAGGCTCTGCGATTCACGTTATTACTTCGCCATGTACGCTCCTTTGTAGTCTTTCAATGCTGATCAACTTTTAAATGAAACCGATCATACTCCCAGCATGCACCTCCGCAAAGCACTTTGAAGTACATCAGCACCTCGTTCCATATCGTTCAACCGACACCCCACAACGGCGGCATGCATTCACCGCCAGATGGTCAAGAGTGCGCTTGTCTCATAGAAGAGTAGACAAATTCCTTTGCAATTTACGGTTACTGCGTCGGCACTTCCAAGTCCTGAGAATGGTCCGGAGGTTATCCTGTGGGAGAAGGCTGCAACGACGCGGTGCCAGAGATCTCGATACTCGCTGTAGTGGATAAGAATACGAGCAACAGTCTGTCGTCTCGCTCCGCAGCCGCAGTGGGGCCGAGTGACGTCTGGGACGACGCTTCGGTTGAAGAGGAAGTCGTTCGGCCCTATCTTCTCGGTCCGTAGCTGCACCAGCAGCGCGCTCTTCCATTCAGTGAATCCTCGTGGAACCGGATTTACTGCGGCGTTTGCATGTGCGAAAAACGTGGGGGTGTCAGCATTGCGCAAACGATTTTATGCAGCCGGGCCACGTGCTTGGGGAGGATGGTGAAAGCTTACCACGGACGCGGAGGATAATGACTCGTGATTACTACACAGCACCTGCAGTTTTGGGTAGCATGGACTCTCTGTACCCCTTTAGGTTGCTCGGCCCTTGGTTTCTTTGCGCTGTCTCGCTATCTGTGTGTAGTTTTGGAAGTATGCTTGTTTGCAGGCGCCTACGACCATTTCCCCTTCACCCGGTCGCTTTCAAGGCCGCTTTATCGACGGCCAAGGAAGCCTGGTAACCATCAAACGGTCACCGGTCGACCTTTGTCCTGGACTACACCAAATCCTCCTGGGTACAAACTCTCTTCGAGATACCTATGAATACGTTGGTTCCGCGCTCTTAGTCAACACATTCATCGCCTTCATCCTCTGCCGCGAACGCCTAGGCTGCATCATCAATGTCTCCTCCCGCGAAGATATCTTCGAAACACATACACCTCTTCGTCCGCAAAATGAGACAAATATGTCCACACCAACATGTCCAAAGCCGCACTTAACATGCTCACGGAGACGGAAGCACAGACAGCGTGGCACGGTCGACGGGTTGCGATGGATATGGTTGTTCCGGGATATATGAGCGCGGCGCCGGAGTATGAAGATGCTTTTGATGGGGTGAGACCGATTGGCTGGGAGGATATTGTGGCCGTTTGCGGTGGCGGAAACTGGGGAGAAGGCCGTTTGGAGACGGCTCTTGAAGCATTACGGGGGCTTGGAGGGTGATTGTGGGAGGTGCGAAGGGTTCGTTCGGATGACTGGTGATCGGATCGTGGATACCATTGCAACGATAGCGAGTAATAGCGGGATGATATGATGCCTACCTTTCCGTCCTTCTGTACCGTTCCGGAAACATATTAGAATCTTCTTATGTGTAGTCGATGATCGGTCGATCGAAAAGTCTCAGCATCTTTGAACACGGGTTGCATAGTCGACTTCATGGATAGCGGTTTACGGGTACCTGCGCTGCTTGCTCAGCTGTTCAGTTGCAACACCCTCTCAAATTTCCGATCCTCTTCTATGTGCCACAGATACCGTACTATCATCGAAATCGCTGAAGATACTGCTGTTGTGTGACGAATTGTCCGATGCCTGCCGTCTGCTTTCCGTTAAGATGGTCATATGAGAAGATGTAGAGAGGTGTATAATGATTAAGCAACAGGCGGCCTCACCTATCTCCAAACAACACGCCAAACCCATCCCACCATGCCCCCATCCATCGAGTTGACCACTACCCCAAACCCAAACCTCACCCCTCCTCCCACACCAAAAACCCCATCTAAACCCCATCTCATCATCACCATGACCTCTCTCTACCTCGGCACCTTCCTCGTAGCCCTCGAAACCATAATCCTCAACCCCATCCTGCTAACCATAACACGAACCTTCGACGCCATCGGCCATCTCGCATGGTACGGAAGCGCTTATCTTCTCGCACTCACGGCGTTACAACCCATACTGGGGAAATTGTATAAATTGGGGGATGTCAAGATGCTGTATCTTGTTTCTGTGGGAGTATTTGAAGGTGTGTCGGATGCTTTCTTAGTATGTGATGAGGGTAGAGGGTAGATCACGATGAGCTGATATAGCCATTAGTGGGTAGTGTACTCTGCGCGATCGCACCTTCATCCGTAGTCTTCATCCTGGGGAGAGCGGTAGCGGGGTACGGAGCAGCGGGACTGATGCAAGGTTCTTTTGCTGTGGTAACGAAGACTGTTCCTCTATCCCGGCGACCCTTCTTCTTTGGACTGTTTGTCAGTGCGTTCGGGGTTAGCATTGGGATCGGGCCAGTGCTAGGAGGTTTGTTGGCTGATCGCGGGCTGTGGCGGTGGTGTTTCTGGATGTGAGTATGCCCCGGATCGCTGAGTATGTGCTTACGAGTTACAAGCAATTTGCCCTTGGGAGCTGTGGTTATGGGACTCGTTGTGGTGTTTTTAAGACTTGAGAAGGAAGATCGAGCTGGGAGAGTGAAGAGCTTTAACAGCAGACATTATTGCGGACGCTTTCTCTTAGAGCTCGATTTGGGAGGAAGTATCCTGCTAGTCGCGTCCATGTGTTGTCTCTTCATGGCAATGCAATGGGGTGGCCATCGTCTTCCTTGGAGCTCTGCCATTATCGTCGGCCTTTTCGCTACCTCCAGCGTTGTTCTTGTGTTGTTCCTCATCGTGGAATGAAAGATGGGGGACGACGCATCTGTGCCGTTTGGAGTCCTTAAGCAACAATCTATCGCTTTCGGAGTCGCGTATCTGTTCTTCTTCTCGATGCCAAACTTCTCAGTATGTCACTGCACCCCTCAAACTTCGCACTAATGAGGCTGACGCAGAGATAGTATGGAGTATACATAGCCATGTTCTTCCAGACTGTGAAAGAGTTCAGCGCGCAAAGGAGTGGTGTGGAGATGTTGTTCTTGACGTTGACACAAATCTTGACGGTGGTAGTGGCGGGCACCCTCGTCTCGAGATCAGGATTATATGTGAGTCTTCTCGAGGGGTATCGCCACCATGGACTAATACCTTACAGACTCCATTCATCATCCTTGGGACTGGCCTGAGCGTGGTAAGCTCTCCGGGAAACTTTATCTTCCAAGCCCGCTGACCACTCGCCCAGGTCGGATCCGGACTCATTACGTTACTCAACGTCAGCACCTCTCATGGTGTATGGTCGGCATACTTTATCATATGTGGTGTTGATACTGGCTGCGCAATCAACCTGCCGTACACTGCCCTATGAGCCGTCTTGAAGGAGGAAGACATGGTCACCGGAAATGGTAAGGCTTGTTTGCGTCCTACTATTTGGCATCTGACTGATTCTTCAGCATTACTACAGTTTGCCTTTCAGCTCGGCGGTGCAGTAAGCCTCTGTATCTCACAAACCATATTCTTGAGCCGTCTGGCAGTAGACATCAAGTCCAGCATGGCTGATTCGCCAGTGGTTGCATTGAATAACAACGGAGCGAATAAGTCGGCGTATCACAATGCTGTTCGGGACGTTTTTGTCTTCTTGCTGGTGACGAGTGGGCTTGCCTTGGTTGCGTCCTTTGGGTTCGAGCACAAGAATGTCAAGAAGGTTGAAGAAGCACAGAAGACAGGCAGTACACCACGTGCGGGGGTGGAGTAGCTACCTTGTTAAGGTTATGCTGCAAATGCGTATATATGGAGAGCCGGACAAGAGAATGTGGAACTGACCGTACTATGACGATAAGTAATGCAATTACCTATGGAGCATGACTGTGATGAGGCTGGCGAAGGCGTACGAGCGCAGATCTTTGTGAGATAACTCGATGATGCTTGGATGGTAGCAGGTATGATGCATGTGATTCTGATCACGAGGCATCTTTGCCGCGTCTAAACGCTTATGGTCCGCCGGAATAATATACTGGTCACGACGCGTGACGCGGTAGGGTAATGACCGGGGGTTAGCTTGGACAGCTCTGCCGAAGCCAGCCAGCCCCGCGACCATCGAACAGCACTCGAGCATCTCTCCCGACTCCAGCACGCCGCTCCGTCAGTTCACTCTGGCGCTGGTACACGGCCACATCGCTTTCGCACACCAATTCACTACACAAATTTCAAGTAGCATCCCCCAACGCCGCACATATCCATTTGGCTAGGCAGCCGTATCGTGGGGCCGTACAAGTACTTCGAATACGACGCCGATATCGACAAGCACCGACGAACGCACATCTAACAGCTACTCGATCGGGCGGAAAAACAACTGTACAAAATGGCAGCCTTCTTCGAACAGCTATGGGAGTCCATCTTCATCGCGGGGCCGACGCCCACGCTCCTTATCGCAACAAACGCCTCGTTCGCTGCGCTCCAGGTCCTTCTGTTCGTCATGCTCATCGCGACCTACAGCATACACTTCGTCATCCTCTCCCTTCTATGCGGAGGTCTCTGGTGGTCGATAAACTGGTTTGCGACGGAGCTCAAGGCTGCGCAGGCGAAGGAGGAGGAAGCAAAGCGTATCCGAGAAGCTAGAAGGGGCGGAAAAGAGAAGGGAGGTGCAGGCGACGACGGAGATGGCATGGATACAGGCGACGATACAGAGGTGGATACCGAGGTCGAACAGACGCAATCGATCAAGCCGAAGTCGAGCCAGCCTCGTGCGCCCCGCCCAGAGACACAGAGCACGGTGTTCGTTGAGAGACCCGGTGGAAGTGAGACGGAGAATCCAAAACAGGCTGCTGCTTCTGTCGGTAGTGGAGGTCCTACTACGGCGAGTACTACGGGAGCGACGACGAGTCTGGCGGCACCGGTAGACGAAGCACTCAAGAGAAGGAAGGGCATGGGCGAATCAACAGGCGATCTGTCGACCGATAGCGAGTGGGACAAGCTATCGGAGGACTCAGAGGACAAGTGAAGTCAAGCGCATCTTGCTAGATAGTTCTCGTTATGTTTGGATACTAGACGCGTTTAGATTCTGTGGACCTGTACACCGATGTCATTACACGTGAACACGTGCGGCCGCCTCTGTTGCCCTGCATATCAGACATGGCTACCATCAAATTGCCGTTGCTAGCCCACCATGATGTCTCTTGCATCATCATTTGCCTTTGTGCCCATCTTGTTCGCGATGCGTGTGTTTGATGCCCAACTTCGTCAAGTCGGTCTGGTCGTGCTTGCCACGCGCCGCAGCAGGGCCCCGATTGCCCCGCCATGTATCCAGCATCACCCATCTCCCATGGCAGTGCCCCCAGCCCTGATACCTCCAGGCAGCGCCGCATACAATCTCCCCATGTCACTGATGAGGATGCGTCACCTCCACCCGCACCGGTAGCGGTCCTGTTTATCGCAAAGTTGCTGCCTTGAGGCTCTCGTTTGCCAATACTTAGGCATACCTCACACGCCCCGCCGCTCCGCAACACGCATCCGCCGCAATGGCGACCATCAACACCCCCGTGAGCCTCCCCGAGGTGACGGAACAGGCGGGAAACTACACATACAATGCGCACATTCCCTTGGCGAATTGGCTGCGCACAGCCAGTACCATGCAAAAAGAGGCACAAGTTTACGAAGTAGAGGGCAACGACGCGCAGACGTACCTCCTCCTATACCGACACGCCGACCTCGTCCTCCAGAAACTACAGGGCCATCCTGACAGGAACAAACCTGAGAATCGGAAGGCGCTCAATGCAGCAACAGCAGCCGTCAGTCGCGACCTGAAGAAGCTCGAGGAAATCGCGCCGCGCATCAAGAAGAGGCATGAAGAATACGAAGAGAGGAGGCAGAAACAGAAGGAAAGCCTGAGGTCGCTGGAAGGGCAGGGCTTGAGGGCTCTCCCGCAGGAGTTGGATGGTCTCGCGATTCAAGATCGGGGGCCGAAGAGAAGGTCGTTCGACTCGCGGCCCACGATTGATGCGCGCTCTCTGGAAAACCAGTCACTGGCTGCGAGACTGGCGCAGAGAGAAGTGCGGAGGAGAGATACCCTCAGAAGAGGTGTGCGGCAGCATGGCGTCTCAGAGGAGGAAGAGCATGCGCGCCGCAGTGGGCGCACCTGGGACAGCTGGCAGAACGAGCTGGGTCAAGGGCCCGACGGAGACGACATCTCGAACCAGCTGCAGGAAGTTGCGAGGCTTCAGCACAATGGGCATAGGACGTCATACTCTTCGGTAAGCTTCATGCGACAGTCATGTGGCTTCTGTACTGACAGGCTCAGCGCCCCACGTCCCAATCTGCGTCTCCATATCACTACCCTATCGTACCATACAAGACTGCCCAGGAAAGATGGTCAGACTCACAGTCACGCGACACGGCGCCTGCTCGACCTCCCAAAGAGCAGATATATAGGGCCTCTGGAACACCGGCGGCTCCACCGCCGTTGCCACCCAAGTCTCCAGCTTCCACGTACGATGCGCGATACGATCATTCACGGCCTCCTCCTGTCCCTGGCAAGATCTCGGAAAGCGCGCCGCCTTTACCAAGCAAGATACCGGATCAGAGGCCGTTGACTCCCTCAACCGAGCTCGACGAATTCACATTCAAGCCTTCCGCCTTCCTGGAGAACGGCGATCCCCTCCGTCCCGTTTTCCTCCCATCCCAATTACGCAATCAATTCCTCGCCGTCGCTTCGTCCAACACACGTCTCAATCTCGAGACATGCGGTATGCTGGGTGGAATTTTAAAGTCCAACGCCCTCTTCATTACACGGCTCATTATCCCCGAACAAACTAGTACGAGCGACACCTGCGAGACTTTAAACGAAGAAGAGCTGTTTGATTACTGCGACAAGGAAGAGTTGATGGTCCTCGGTTGGATTCATACTCATCCGACGCAGACCTGTTTTATGAGCAGCAGAGACTTACACACTCATGTCGGATATCAGGTCATGATGCCAGAAAGCATCGCCATCGTTTGCGCTCCGACAAAACAACCTAGGTATGTCAACGAATTCCCCATGACCGCGGTTCAGACACTGACAGTGATACAGCTGGGGTTGCTTCCGCCTTACCGACCCCCCAGGCAAACAAGCCATTCTGAACTGCAGTCGTCCTGGCATCTTCCATCCTCACGACGTCGATAATATCTATACCGAAGCGCTTAAACCAGGCCATGTGGTCGAGCTGACCGACGCGCCACTGGAAATCGTCGACATGAGGCCCAAGAAGAACTTCTAAGTCCGCCGTCCTATTATTATAAGTATGATACTTTGCATGGGCAATACCCAACGTATGCAGGTCGTTGACATGAAAGGATCATGTCATTGCATAGCGAGGAGTTTGGGAGCATTTCAAGAGTACATAGATTGCTCACCGTGTTCTACGGGGTATCTTACGGGGCATACAGTCGTGTATCTTTGTCGCTCAACAAGTATACGCATCTATATATCGAGCCTAGGTGTATCCGATAGATTTCACGCATTTATCAGTGGCACCCCTCTTTCTGTTTGATGAGTTGCTGTCTACCTCCTCCATTACCTCTATAAACTAGTGGCCTATGCTGTATCCGTAGTACCGCGCGCAAGTCATCAGGTCATCGTCCGATTGTAAAAGAACAAGTCGATGTCACTCTACATCGATCGCTGGTACCCTCGGTTGCAATCACGTCGATACATATGTATTATGCTGATCCCCTCAGATTTCATAAGTTATACAAAGAAGCAAGAAGCAGCACTGCACCGGCAAGTCCCGCTCGATTTCCGATCAATACGAGAGAATGCAACGTAAAATTTCCCCAACCCACGTGGGAAAAGGAAAACCTGTTCACGCCTTACCAGCAGTTCGGGAACGACCCCAATTTGAACCCAGCACGACCGAGCCCAACCCAACCACCTTCTCCACTAACGCAATACCCCCATCGCGAACAACAAACATTTCCACGATCGTCGACGTCATCGTATACAACATCAAACAAACTCACCACACTTACCCTTTACGGCGGCTATACATCGGATGAGGAACCGTGCCGATACCCGAAACCCCCCCAACCGATAACACAGCAGCCCGAAACATTTCGGGAGATCGACAAATCGACAATTGGCATATCTGTCTAGTCTATTTTGTTCGTTGTGCTTGTATGCAAATGCCATATTGCCGAATGCGGACCTGGGAGTGCAGGTGGTGCTTCGAAACCTGTTTCGCTACTGCGATCATGGACAAAGTCAGGCAAGGCACTCGATGCAAATGCCATATCAGTGGCCCGTACGAGGCTAGTTAAATTGTCCCCACGACTATGGTGGTTTGGTAGCGTGACTATGGTATTAGAAGTACTGCGTGCAAATGGAGTGGGCTTTTTCAGGCGTTCCATTGGTTTGGGGGTTCGGGTCGTGTGTAGGTTGGCCAAGGCAGGTTTCTTGTCGTTGTTCGTTCTAGATTGGGGAACGTTGGGTCCAAAGTCGTGATTTCGGCTTGAGCCGAAGGGTTTGCAGCTAAGGGGTTGTAGATGGGACTTGTTAGTAAGAGTGACTGTGAGCCATATCGTGCATGCAGGCGGGTACTGTGGGGCATTTGATAAGCATGTCCTTCCCGGGCATCCCTCAGGCACTCAAATACATCTGGCCGGTGTTGCGATTGAAGCTTTCGTCTAACATGAAGCTCTGCCGAGATCCAAACAACCAGCTACTGTGATTTCAGTAGTCACAGTAAAACACCAAGAGCAAGTCCTCGTGCCCGGCATTGAGATCGGCAAACCCCAGAGAGGGCAAATTATGCTTTCGGTATGTCTAAGCTAGCCGCATGGCTTTGCTTCTTCTACGTTGTACTGGGCTAGTCACCAGAGCTTAGATGTTTTAGCACATGTTGGGCGTGTATCGAAAAGGGGAGAAAAGAAAAACTTCGCACCTTTGCCGTGATCGAGCAGAGAAAGTTTGTCGAGCCCGACATTAGGTGCCGCTGTCTGCTATCTGCTATCGTCGGCTGGATGATGACAATGGCTGGTATCGACGCGTATGTCTTACGATACCTACGCGGGTCTAGTCGGCGATGGAGTGCAAGTGTCAGCTGCATGCATCGAATCCAGTCGCCGTATCAGCAATGTGCCGACCACCGCAGTGTCGTAAGAGGACCATTCGTAATTGCCGAGGGATATTTCGAGACATGTGGAAGTGAGGTGAGAGATCGACTGGGTATGTTCGCGCAATCTCATGTCATGATTTGACTGGGGTGACGATTCCCAAATCCGCGGTACCGAAAAGGCTCGCGCGGCGGGGAAAGGGAGGCTGCACAGCTACACCACTCTGAGCGGTTCGGCCAAGCCTTTCTCCACATTTCTGATTGGTGGCTCATCGCACATACTGGCTCAGATTCTGTCAAGAATCTCTCTTTGACCATGGAATTGATGATGATCAACAGTAACGCTTTTCGCCGTTGTCTACATACGGAGCAAAAAGACGATCAAATCCATTCTGCGCTACCTAGGTACTCATGGGGCTGCCTTCGGATACTATACCCCGCAACTGCTGTGGTCTTGATCTGGGTGTGTAAGCGCATGTCGCATGCGTGTACAGATAGACACATGCTGACAACGTGGTTGAGAGACGATGCGGGAACGGTGGGGACCTGGTGGGATGCGGAGAACGCTCCAGAATATTCAACGGAATCTGCAACTGCAGTTTGACGTCAAAAGCCGCATACTTCAGATAACCGTCGTACCCAATTCCAACGTGGAGCCGCGGTAATATTTGCGATCGTGGTATGTTCAGTAACTGCCGTTGTAGTTTGAAAATTTTTATTCACATCGAGGTATCAGCCACAGTGCACTACCCGATGGAGTTTGCTTCACATGCCTCATCTCAATGCGTTATAGCGACATGGGAAAGAACCAAGTGCCATGTTACCCGGGCGTGTTCCGTTACACTGTCTGCTCCACACTGTGTGGCGTACGTATAGCCCTAGTCGCTTTCGGGAATATGAGGTTTGGATAATCTTTATCGCTGGGGTAAAGGTACACGGATAAGCGGCAGCAGAGCCTTTACCTCTCACCGGACCTGGAGCTAGATGTTAGGCGGCCGCACAAGCAACGTTGTGTGACGTCGTGCTGTGGGCCAGTGGCTGGAGGTCTGGACACCTCGATCTTCAGACGGGAACGTCCGAGTAATGGTTGCTAGAGGTAATTCATGAAAACAGTGGAGTGCTGAATTGTTAAAAGACGGATTGCTAGATTAGAATTGGCGCAGACGTATAGACGATGCGTGGGTTGATGTTGAGGCTTTGATGACTTTACAAATAGGCGCAGTGGCGAACTGGAGCATCGATTGTCAAATTGATTTCAGCATGCATTGCATATCGAGGAATCCGTGGGGATACGTCGGTATATTCGATTCGTAGGAGTCGACTGCTGAGTCAACGTCTTCAACTTGATGCTATTTTTTTTATCCCAATGTTGAAGGCACATCTCATAGAGATAACGCAAAGAAGGTCTACGCGTGCCAGCCACGGTATACAATCTTAGTGCCGTATTTCTCACCCTTCTTGAGCACCATCATAGGCTTGTATTCTGGAACGTTGACAGCGTTTACGTAGCGGCTGGGTTCGACACAGAAGCCAGCACGGGCGCCTCTGGCGGGAAGGTCACCAACGGCAGGTACATCAATGTATTTACCAGTGTAGAACTGGAAGGCGGGTTCTGTCGAGTGAATTTCGAGGTGGATCTTGGTCTCCGGGTGGTAGAAAGACGCAAGCTTCTGCAGAGGCGAAGATCGAGTGTCGATAGGAATGCTGCTGGGGTCTGTGTTGGCAACAAAGCAGTCGTCAATATCGGGCTCTTTCTCGCCCAGGGTGAAGGTCTTCTTGGCGCTCACACCGGGGTATTCCTCGACGGGTCCAGTGGGAATGCCTCCATCGTCCACGACTTGGTACTTGTTTGTGATGAGGTTGACTTCAGTTCCGGTGATGGTAGGTCCTCCAGACAAGTTAAAGTAGCTATATGTACTGTCAACAAGACTTCCATGAAAAGGATGATGGGAAACTAACCTATGGTTGGTCATGTTGATTGCGGTCTCTTCGACTTCATCACCGATCAGTTCAGCCTCGTATTCGATGTACAGGACCTCCTGTTGAGCGCCATCGACTTCCTCCTTCGCTTGGATATACCACACGCGCACCTCTACAGTACCGGGATAGCCTTCCTCGCCATCCTTGCTGACGTATTTGAAGAAAGTAGCCTCTTTTCCATTACGGTCAACAGTAGATGGTCCTTCAAATTCTCGCTTTCCCCAGCCAAGGTTGCCGCCGTGGAGAGAGTTGGGGCCGTTGTTGACCGCTAGCTGGTATGACTTCCCATTGAGGTCGTTGATCTTCGCTTTGGATACGCGGTTGGCGATGCGGCCAATAGTCTCACCAAAGAACGGGGCGTTGTACTGCTTGTACAGCTCGGCAGATGGGAAACCTTGGACGATGTTCTTTCCGTTCACAACGAATTTTTGGATGATCGCGCCCAGTGGCAGAAAGGTAAAAGCCTTGGTCGACGACATGATACGATCGTCAACGTGGCTGTTCTAGTTTTATGATAGGCTCACCAGATGCGATATTTGGTACGTCTGACCTGCGTCGATTTCGTTAGTTGTGTTGTTCAAACGCTATAACGGGTGCCACTATTGCTGCACTTTCGTGAGGTCTGATGTGGTGTGATGAGGGGTAATGCGTGAGAGCGGGGCAGCTACAGGAGGGCAACTCACCTCAGCGAGTGATTCTAGCTTGCGTTCAGTGCAGGTGGTTTCTTTGTTTTGGAAACAGGTGACCGATTTTCCTCGATGACCTCTTGGATGCTTGAGCTTTTGACTGTGAGGAATGAGTGCGCGCAATTGACCTTACATAGAGTACGTATGCGGTGATTGATTAGCCTAATGAGGTTGTGGAGCACTCTTGGACATCCTTTCTGCCGTCGTCACCACGTGAAGTACGGCTGAAGTGTTCGCTCGCGAGTACCAAACGACCCGTCGGACGGCATGCCGTATGCGGTCATGGTTCGCCTGTTTCCACGGAGCTGTGGCAGTGCGGATGAATGTAATGGGGACGTGGGGCGAAGACTGCAATTAGTAATCGAAGGTCAGGGCGCGCACACTGGATTCCGCAAGCATGGAGAACAACATCTTCGACTATGATACAGTTGAGATTTACAGTGACGCCACCATTTCGATCGCCTTGCCGGTCGGTACTTCCGACTTAGGCCAATTCGAATTTGCCGATCTGCGGAGCTTTGTCGCAACTATGCTTCGCGCGATATTTCACGTCATCGTGAACCGTCGAACTTTCGACACCGAAGATAAGGAAAAGTCGCCAGAAAATCACTAAATGCCGGCCGACTAACGCCGATTGCCATGACCGAAACGAACGCCGTGTAGGATTGGAAAGTATCCCAGAACGCTTGAACGCTAAATGAAGAGACGGAGAGAAGCGGAGTTAAGTCCGAACCAATTATCATGCGCCGACCGGGTTTTGTATGAAACTGCTGAAATCCAGGTCGCTGTGGATGTTCCAGTCTGGCATCATCGGATCGCTTTGGCTCATTGAAATGGGATCTACCATCATGTTCTGGTCGTATGCGCTGAAGTTGTCGAATCCATACATGGGCTTGCTGAAGTCTACGGGATCGTCCATCATGATGGAGTCGTTCATCCATGGCGCCCGTGATAGACTGGAAGGATCCATAGCGCTGGTGTTCATATATGGTGCTGGTGCCATTTGTGTTTCTTGCTTGATTGGCGGCGACACTACTTGGGACTGTCGAGGGAATGGGCTGTTCATCGGCGGTGTTGGCGGCGCGTTGTGGCGCGCAAACGGACTGTCGAAAGCGAAAGATTTGGTTGTCGGTGTACTGTTATGCGACGAGTTTGGCGAAACGTGGCCATGATCAGAGTCTGAGCTAACGGATGCCCGTCGTCGGGTGTATGGGGCGCCTCCTTCAACCAGTCTTTGTTGCATGCGGTTGCAATCTTCTTCGAAACCCTCATAGTGGCTCTTGTCGTCTCCGGGTGATTGCAAAAGATCAAGACGTTCCAGGATGTCGTGCGTCAAAGGATGGCCGCCTGAGGATTCTTGCAAAGGCTGTCCTGGCCAACTCTCGCCTCGTTGCAGGCGACTGTACAGTTCTCTAAGACCGGCTACCAATTGGGTTTGTTGCTGTTCGAGCATCTCAACATATCTACGACAGTCAGATCAAAACTTATTGCGAGGGTGAATGGTAACATACCCTTTCGGGTACACTTTGTCTTGCGACTTCTTCCTCTCGCCAAATACGCAGATGGCGTTGTCGGCTTTGCATCGAGTGCAAGGGCTTGATCCGTCGCACTGCCATGGTTAGAAAAACATACAGGCACATATAAGGTTGTACATACTTTTGACTTCTTCAATCGGCATCGGTCGCAAGCCTTGCATACTCGCTTTCTGATGTTGTCTTGGGCTTCCATCGAATCTGACCTATGAGGCGACATGTCGATTGGTATGGTACAAAGTGGAGCAAAGGTGCTTTGGTGAGAAGGGTGTGGCTGAGTTGGACTACAAGTCAATGTGGTGGTCAATGAGATGTCTGGTTGACAGAGTAGGGTATCTAAGGGCACTTTTATCGAGAGATGGAGGTGGAAATTAAGGCCTAAATAAGGTCGCAACCCTCTGTGGGTAGCAAAGCATTATATCTTTTCACGTCACTGAGCAGTCAAGGCGGACGTTCGGCGTTAACCTTGTGCCCTGGGTGCAAAAGCCCTGTAATGGAACTGTAATTATGAAATACGCCGGCGCTGGGCAGCTAAGCACCCCTGTCTCCTTACACATCATCAATCGGCGCACGTACGTTGGATTACATTAGTCGATGTGCAGGGATTCTTGGCCTGTTGCAGGGCGCCAACCTTACAAGGACTGGGCTCAGTTGGCGGACGACACGAGAAAGCGAGGGCGCGGAGTCGGCCAACGAGCGGACCGTGACCGTGGCCCACGAAACGTGCTATGGAAGAAAATCCGCACCTGTGGCAGCAGAACAGGTGACGCGAATTCGGCGAATACGCGGGCGTAAAGTACGCTCGAAAATGTCTCCAGATCGCAGTCCTCGGCTACCGGCAACACGACATCCACGACCAAAAACATGCGGACAAACACGCTGCCCGAGTTGCCCTGAAGGCGCGACTCCCATTCATTGGATGCTTTCCAGAAGTCGTCATCAAGGTCGACCATGTGGCTCAACATGTGCGCGGTCTCCAATCAGTCCACCGGTCATCATTATGCTTTATCACTAATAGTGTTATTTCGACCGCTCGTCTGTGAAGTATCATGTACAGGCTCAGGCCTCGGCCGAAGAAAAGCACGACGGGCTGACTGAGCGATCTTCCTCGTGCTTGCTGAAATTTCGCTCTTTCGGACGTTAGAAATTCGCTCGCGGAACCTCGCAAGTGACCCGTCCGAGCTGAAAGAGGACTGGAGCGCGAGATAAGCTGTACGAATGTGCGGGTTTCGCGTGCGGACATACGCGACGTACCGTCGTTGTCTGACCAGCAGCATTTGATTACTCGATGGACAGGGAAAGCACCGCTAGGGACGAATTCCTTTCTCAGTAGCTGCACGCTGTTAATGGGTACCGTCGCTTGTGAATGTAAGCACAGCTACTCTCAGCGGTTTGCATCGTTTAGAGTTGCTGACCGCGTTTTGTTCCAGTCACGAACATGAGAGTGTCCAATGCAGAATTTCTTTTGTTGATCATCGCTCGCCAATCCGTTCCTGAGTCTTGGGTAGACATGATCATCCGTGCCTCAGCCACCGCGTACATCGGCCCTGGTTGTCCACTCATCCACACTCATCCACGCTCATCTGCGACTTTGGTACCTAGGTATCCTTTTGCATTTGAGCATCGCCGCATGTGCCTTTGGCAAGGCATACAGCTACCTTGGTTTGGGAGATTTGATGTTGTGAGACCCACACAAAGCGTCGTCAGGTTGGGGGGCTGAGGTCATTTTCGTACATTGTTGCGAATGCCGTATTCATCACAGATTCGATGCGCCTATACGACGCCTACGCTGACAAGGCCTGCCATGTCTTGGCGGGACGTGGTTCTGGAGCGCTCATACAATTCACGTGCTGCGCATGTCAGCATACGCAAACGTGTCAGCGCCTTCATCGCATGCGCGGAATTATGCGCCAGAGCTATGAGCTATAATGGCGTTCAACGGTTCTCACGAGGTTCGCCCTTTGGATTCAGGGAAACCGCTGACGCCTCAACGTATATACGCCTCAGCACCCACGCTGTCCTCCCGGGGCCCATAGCTCGTTAGCGGTAACGGCACGTCTACTTTCCATCTCAATAGTGAGCGGCTTCGGCGAGTTATCTCGCCTTGCTGAATGGCTTACGAACTGACCAGTGCGGAGTTGGCAAGAGCGATCATGTAAGCCCATGATCTTGTTTGTAAATTCGGCGGTTCTCGAACACCTCAGGGTTCTTGTCGATCAACCCCGCTGTCATTTGGCCTTTGCTCTAATGGAAGCTTCCTAGCTTTTTACAAGTTACAGAGAACGTCACTCACGAAGGAGCATGTGTCAGAGCTGTATCATTACAGGAATGAAAGTAATCAGGTCCAAAGTTCAACAGCTGTGTGGCCTTCTTTCTGAGGTCAATAACAGCGGTCTTCCTTGTCGCGTTGGGCGAGGAGCATCTATCTTGCCCAACCCTAACTTGGTAAAGTTTCAAGGTTGTTGTGGGAATCGCGATGCACATCTCCCCATTATCGCTACGAAATGATGTTCCGCTATCTTCATATCGTCAGGAGTCTGCGTGCGCTTACATGGACCACGCATGAATTCCAGTGAGACTATCAGCACTCCGTCCACAATGATTGGCAAGATCGACAGGCTCTGGCTTACATAACTTGATGAAATGGGCCTATTCATCTTGGTCACGACAGGGATGTAGCATCAAGACCTCGTCGACCCAGCCTGCATCCTATAAGCGGCCTTACTCAAGGCCAAGCCCGATAATAGCACCTGCACTGCCAGCCAGCCAGCCAGCCAGCCAGCAAGGCATTGTCCATCGCAGGTCTTCAAATGCGGCGCTGATCTATGCAGAACCCAGATAATGCGAGCCGTGTTGAGTTTATTCATTGCACGTTTCAACACCAAGCCGATCACACGATCGTGCCAAAAGGAGCCAAGAGACAGATGCATCTTGGATGGGTTGAGCACGAATGCGGAGGCATTAGCCACATGCGCGCCACAACGCGACCTCACCCGGGCAGCCCTCGCTTGACGGATCGCAGACGAGCCGGGTGCCGAGCGGCCAATGGTCTCACGAAGGAACTGCACTCTGATGGACGCACAACCATCCGTTCCTACCGAGCGACCACTGGAAATTGTAAACTCGTGGTAACCCTCACTAATTCAGGGAGACAGATTACTGGTCGGATGACTCTGGGTCGGGAGACCAAGACTTCCGCCCAGGTGTCGGTTAGGTCAGTCTGAACTCCGCCTCATGATCTCCACAAATCGCTTCCTGAAAAGCGAAGACTGATGATCACGGGAACCCTACCTGGCCCCGGCGACATATAGGGGCCTCATTTCGATTCGAGATCTAAGTGTAGGATATTTGCTCATCGAGCCACACGCGGCGCATCCTGGGCATCTCAGGCTTCCAAGCCTCAAAGCAACGTGTACCTAGCAATGAGTCTTCTGGCGCCAAGGTATAGCTGGCGGTGTCCATTCTCCGCTACTTAGGTAGGGACGAAAATACTCGGCACCCATCATGCTCGGCAATGAACTGGCGTCCGGCTTGGAACATCCGAAGCCGATTGAAACGGGCGTTGTGAACACCGCGACCGAGCCTGGCCCTGAAAGCTGTTCGCGGCTAGGGTCCCAAGTCCTTCGTCTTCGCGCTCGCTATCCAACGCGAAATGATGTCAATGAACCCGAAAACGCAACTTCGTTCAGATGGCTAGCTCGCTGCAGCTTTTCGGCCAGCGATAAGCCGATTATCACGATGAATTGTGGCTGACGAAAAATGGGCCGGTCTTCCTGTGCGGATAAGCAGAACATCGCGCCGAGTTGAGCCTCATAGACGGGAATAGCAATGAGGCGAATCACCAAAGCCGTTCCGTTCCCACTTGGTCCCACTGGAAAATTCAAGGCTGAAAGCCTCGACGCTTGTGTACTACTACGGCCTGCCCACCCACGTCACAACGCAGACAGCCACGCTGTTGAGGTCTCGAACAACGGATGCTCACTAAGAAACAGTGCTTTGTGGATCTCTGGAGAGCCCGAGGAGGAAGGTCGACGCGATAGTCGTACACCACCAACGACAAAGCTGAAGCGCTATTGACTAAACCTTCGGCTGCTGGTCAGACTTTGAGAAATTAATCATGTTCAGACAGTGCTTAGACCCTTCTCAAGGCACAATGCATCTCAACGCACTTGACGGCATCAACATACCGACATTGTAGCATGCATCACCCATGAGACAGCATTGCGAATTACTGCAGCTATCAGTTTCGGCAATATCCGCAATGCGAAGGACCTGGTGATCATGATCGACCCGTTAACAGCATATCCACTGCTGGATGGGGAACCCCAGCTCCAAGCGCCAGCACACTGGTTTCGCCGAGAGCAAAATGCATCCCCACTTGGACCATGACAGCGATGGTCGAGACTTGTTTCATGAGTGCGCGTCTTCGTGTCAGCCACCGGCGATAAGTTTTGAGCATCAATTATGACGTTCTTGTGCAACCTTTTCATCTAGAGTACCGCCATTTCTCCCTTATCAGATTGACTATCACGTAAGTTGTTCTCGCAGATGCTGTCGGTAGACCTGCCATGGTAGGCCACGAAATAGTCACGATCTGAGAGACCAGCGGGTCCAAAGATGGAGATTTCTTTCGATACCAGAATTTGCGATCGTACGAACGTTGTTCGAAATAACTTGCTTTCGGCTTTTCGTACAGGAGCAATCGGCCCTTTCGACGCATTGATATCACTGACCACGATGACCGTCCGCGATCGACGCTCGGAGCGGGACAACTGGTGTCCTTACGTCCGCAGTGTTTCCTTCGAAGTACCTCTGGATGCCCGCGGTTTGGCATCAAAACTGCGCTCACTCAATCAACTTCGCCTTGTATTGAAAGCACTACTGTACTGGACAGATCGCGAGTAGTAGTGCATGGTGTTGCTGATGCGATTATGCTCACGCGATCGCCAAAATCCTGTTGTACTCCAGCCTGCCTGGTCAGAAAGAGCTATTAATTGGGATGGCGTGTGTGGGACATACTCCATCTGGAACACGTGCGCCTTCACATGAGGAAGGGACGTGACTCGACTATCTTGATGCGGGTAACGATACGACTGCTGGATATCGGGACTCATCAATATCCCCCTGTGGGAACAGCAGATCGATACAGTCATTGACGCCAGCACACAACAGACTGTGAAGCAACAAGTTACTTGCAAGGCATCGCCCTGGACAGCCAAGAGACTGCCTTACGAACAATGTCTATACGACCACCGCACGACGGCTATACAGTCGGCTGATCGGCACCCATGTGGTACCCCAGCCCCAACACAAGATATGCGCGAAAGAGGCGAACAAGAACGGCTCAACAACCTCGCTTAGAGAATTCCGCAGTAGTATACAGGTTTCGAGTGCATCGCATCGCCTCGCATGCATTCATTACAGCATCCTCGTAACACAAACAGCAAGCGGCAAATGGAAGTTCTGCACAAGCAGGATTTTCGACGACGTCACCGTGTTCTCAAGACAGACCGAAAACGGGCTCGGTTACAGCCGCACTTGGTGTTTTTGGGTAATGACAGCAGGGCTCCATTACCCTATTTGTACCCATGTTCGTCCTTCTCAGTGTTGCGGAGCCAAGCAAGAGATGCCCCGCAATGCTCTAAACTCTGGATCGGACATCTTGGCCACGACGAATCAACGGTCAGTACTTGGGAAATATGGAAAAAACGGCTATCGTAGAACATCGACGTGCGGGTGCGGCTGAGTATTGAAGTTTGCGTCCGTGGAGTCAAATTCCTTGATACCGCGCAACTGCAGGGGTGAATGGAGACGGAACGACTCGTCAAAATGTGGATCATTGGCACAGTCCGATACGTATCGGCCTTGTACCTGATAATTCGGCACGTCATCTGGTCAATCTTCACAGACAGCACGGCAAATCATTCCAATAATCGATCTGTCGCTGTTTTTGCGCACCACATGCCCAGACATCACCTTTTCGCAGGGGTCGATCATCATTTGCGGTTTCCAGCACCGCACTCGAGTAATGCGCAGTATTACCATCTCCTGCGGATCTGTAGCAGACCTCGGGATCTTCGCATCACCAACGACTTTCAGTCGGCGACGTGCACCTACGAGGTAATCACAACTGTTTATGCATCGCATCGCACTTTCAAGAAAACGTCACAGATAAACAAATGAGCTCACCGCTACGGAAACCCTTCCCCCAACCCGTCAATGGGAGCAGAACTGTACGGTGGGAGGATGATACATGTTCTCGGACGAAATTTCCGCACAAGTAGTACACCTCCAATTCATCCCAACAACCTGGGTCCGACAAAACGCAGTCAGAAGTTTGTTTTGCTGCTGAAGTAAGATGCAAGTCAGGTAGGCGGTGTTAATGGCGGACATCCGTCGCGTAATCGCGGCGTTTACGCCGATCGGGGTATTGCAGACGTTGAGTAACGGCGATGAACTTTGCTCGGGTCATGATGCGAGTGTAACTACGCAGTAGGTGGTAATCAGATTCTCATTGCACCGCCCAGCCAATAGCCAAAGAATGGAGAGCAGCAAGATGATTCCGTCATACTTCGAGTGCTGTTTTACTTTGATCATTATCACAAATTCGTCATTTGCTCGCCAGATACAAATTCTGGGGCCGATTGGTGACGATGACCACCATCACAATACTGTATTGAAACAAAGTCTTTGAGCACAAAGCTTCTCAAACAATCATATCAAACTCCTCTTCCCTGATTGCCACCTCTACCTAAGAAAAGGAAGAAGAAATGGCCAAGGCATGCTCAAGTAAGCTTACACCGATCGTGTACATCCACCCTTAAAACAACATACCAATCAACCAACCCCACTCACGATAAGCGAAGACCGATGACAACCTCGGGTCCAGGTCCCATCACTCTTGCAAAAGTCTCCGGTGGTGTGGCTTAATGATACGTCCGCAAGGTGCGACATTTTGTTTCAAGTCGAAGCAGCTGTGTCGGATTGATAACGGGGCTGGAGTTGCGAAACAAGACTATTGTGGCTGCTTAGTAGTATGCAAGTAAGTACATGAGATGAGTGACTTAGCTGGCCAGGCAGCTGTAGCTACCTTGGTCAGCTTAAACGACGCGGTGGTCCTTGAGATTAGTGGACGTGAGGTATTCGCGAGGGCTTGGTCACGTTTCATGACAGCGTGCAATTCAATGTACAAGGCAGACAGATACAGCTTCTCTCGACCAGAAAGCCGAGGAGCCAAGATACCAGGCATATTTCCCTTTCTCACATAGCCTCATCTATCTGTGAGTGGTGCTGGGCAAGTACATACCCAGTCAGAATGCGGGGAAGAAACGCTTTCTCCATTAGTAAAAACAAAGTAAAGACTGCGAAAATCCAGGGATCTTAGGTGTCTTGGTATACAGACTGAGTTCTGGGGCAAACATGTCGTGTTTAGTAAACCCGTTGCCAAAAGCTTATATTAGAGTCTAGAACTGCACGGGAAGCGGAGCAACGTTGAGCGCAAATAAGCCCTAAAGGTACGGCCGTAGTGTGTTTCGCGATAACACGAGGAACAATGCAAAGATGAGCGTATTGACAACAAGGACGAAAGACGGGATCGAGATGAACAGCGAAGAAGGATAGTCTAAATTACCAATAAAGCGCACGATCGCAGACGATGCTGCTTTCGCTGTGCTTTGCTTACCGCCGCCGTGACCGAAAACCAAACCGACCCAATCCGAGGGGTATTCGCAACGCTATGCTTTCTGAGCTAAAAACAGGACGCACAATTAAACTCTATCTGCTGTATCCCAGTACACAAACATAAAGCCAACAACCAAGGCCGAAGTAACACCCATCATGATCAAAACAACGTGGTAACGGCCACAAACTTCCTCCAACAGAAGACGCGAACCCGGCAACGTGATTTCGGAAGATGTGCGACGAAGAGAAGGTGGAGGTGGAACAGTATTCGCGAATGTATAATAAGACTGCACGGTTGGACGAAGCGGAGTCCATGGTGTCGCCTTCCTGCGTGGTTGGCGTGAAGGCTTCAGTAAGTGCAGAAACGACTATGTCTTGCCCTTCTCATACTCCATGTCCGCATCCTGAAGCTCGGCTTCCAGCTGTGCGCGTGCCTCTGCATCTGGCGCTGGCGAGCTGGACGCACCACGCGAACTCGCCGGTCGTGATGGCAGCAGCGTAAGGCTTTCATTGGCGGCTTCGCTATTGTGTAACGACTTTTGGCGCTTGAGGGCGGGTTGTTCGCTATCGGATGTGGGCGCAGCGCTTGCGAGGCCGAGCCGGCTTGCTTCGTCTGGATGTTCAGAGATCCATCGTTCGCGCCATCGCTCGCGCATCACATCGTATATGAACTGGAACTGTATCTTTGACTGAACCATGCCAGCTCGCTGATCTCGGAGCATCTCCACAACTCTCAGTACAGGGTCCTCGTCCTCTGGTACATCGTCCAAGGCACCCTCGTCAAGCTCCTGCATAAGCCAGTCGAGCGCAATGAAGGTGCCGCTGCGACCGATGCCTGCGCTGCAGTGAACGATGCGTGGGTTGGTCGAGTTGTCTGTGTTCTTGGATCGCGATATGTCCACCAGCTTCAGCATGCCAGCGCGATCGTCGCCCTCTGGCACCGAGAAGTCCGGCCAGCCAGCGAAGAGCAGATGCCAGATCTTCCTCGACTCGCTGCCGTCATCTGTTGTCATGTCGATCTCCCTCACTTGCGTCCGAGCCTCTTCGTCAATTGTGTACGACGCCAAGTGAAGGTTGTGTACGAAGCCGTCTTCGAATTCGTCGTGCTCGTTGATGCGCATATCTGGACTCGACGGCGATTGCGGGTAGTAAGGGTAGCATTTCTCTCGGTTCGCTTCGTGGGTCTGGGTCAGCATGACTATGACTGCGGGCGACTGATTCTCCTTCCATATCATGCGCCAGATATGCGACCAGCTGTCGGCTTTGGGTCCTTGGGTGGCAATGTACTTGAGCTCCGTCCCAGATTTGGTGGTCTCGAGCAGTATTGGAGAGGCATTGATGTAGTCGAAGTGGCCCTCTGGTACGTCAAGATGCACTCTGTTGGACTGGTATGGGTCGACGTTGATGTAACGGTTGCGGATGGCATAGTCTTCCCCAAAGCACCTTGCCCACTTGTCGGGTTCGTCCGAACCAGTCCCTTGCGCCGTGTCCCTTAGGCGCTCCATTTGCGCCATCTCCAAGCGATTCCATTTGGTATTTATGTCCTTGGTCTGCTTCAGGAAAGCGGGATACGGAATTGCATCTTCGCCGTTTGCTTCGCTTATGACGGGCGCAGTGGAGATGACGAGACTATTCGTGCTCACAGAAGGAGTGTTGGCGGCTGGTGTGTTGAGAGAAGAGGTGGTGATTGATCGCGTGCTGTCCTTGCTACGGGAGCGCTTGGACGAGGTAGGAGAGATGGCATCGTCGGCTTGAGCCATGGCTGGGTCGGTCCTGATGAGGACGCCCTTGAGCTTCGCCTTGCGCCGGAGGGCGCGGAGTTTATGCAGCTTGAAGAAGTTGTCCTGGGATTCCGGGAGCGATTCGGGTCCTGGCAGTGGAGGAGCAAGAAAGTTTGACGAGGGGATGGTGACGGGAGGCGGTTAGGCGCAGGCGTGGCGCGTCCAAGAAAGGAATAACGGGCTTGATAGTGGAGTGCCGCAGATGATATGCCTCCACTGACACGTGTGCGACTCGTGGGGGTCCCGGGCCTTGCCAGATTGATGTTTAGCGATGGAGGAGCGTATAGCAATACGCTGGGGGCCGAAGAGCAGTTGTGCAGTGGCCGACCGCGGGACGTTGACAAGCTGATGTCCAAGGCGACTCCGAGGCTGTTGTAGCCAGAGGGAGGCGACTGTATGGTTATCCAGCCAACGGCGCGCAGTGCCCAAGAACCAGGTTCCAGCGAGGCGTGTTCTAGATGAGGGGCTGTACGCGAGTGGAGCAGCTGGCGGGGGTGCGCAGACAGGTCGGGGCGTCTTCGAGCAGGCTGACAAGGCGGCCGATATCTATCTCAGCGATGGGGGGAGAATATAGCCACGAAGAAGAAGATGATGATGGAAGATATTCAGGATCCAAACATTTGTACGTCAACAGAAGAAACAATCACTGAAGCGAGGGTCCACATCAAACGTCAGGCGCGGTCGCGTCACAGGTGCAGGCAGGGCCAGTCCCGGTTGTCTCTAGTTGGTTCCGCTCGCCATTCCGAGGCTTCTCCATGATCCATCGCTCATCCACCGTTGCCACCACCCCTCCCCCAACGCAACGCCTGCACGCATCTGCTGTCTTGCAGTAGCAGCTACCCGCGCTTGTGAATGCTTGATTGAACAAACCATGGGTGCTCCCTGGTTCGCACTCTTCGAGGTTTGTGACCTTCTCCACCCAAACAGAGACATCAAGCTGACAGCTGGGCAAGGCTTGGGCCGTCGCAAAGGCACGTCGACAATCTTTCCATATTTCCATGCCGCGCTCGCAACTGACGCTTTGAAGCTCATCCGCTCTCCGGCATTCAACCGAGCCGTCCAGAAGGCCTATCGCAAGATCAACAGGCTGCCCGACTTTGAGCAGAAGAACGGCGGAGGCAGTATGTCTTGATGAACACCCGCTAGACAATCAAGTACTGACTTCCTTCAGGGACCGGGCCATCATCCCTCGACCACTTCAGAGATGAAGTGAAGCACCAGTTCCGCGAACTCACATGGCAAAAGCGCCCTCCCAAGTGAGAACGCCTTCGAACCACGCCTGCTCCACTCCCCTCACTCTACACGAAACGCATTACGAATACATCGCATTTCCCGCGACACGAGACACCCGGCATCTGATTCGGTATGAGATGGATGTACAACGGTCAAACATCCTGCGACAGGCACCATCTACGAAACAACCGAACGATTATGCGTCTTCTAGGGATAGGAAACAAATCGAGCTAGATATTCATCTGTTGGAATTGCCGCTTCGAAAGGTATTCGTTTATACTGGGCACCTCATGTTCTTCACTACACGTCCCTACCAGGCCATGCTGGGTTCACCCTGTCCTAGCTTGGCAAATCGGACTACGAGCTTCATCAAAAGACGGGACGAGACAGAGGCCACTTTCACACGGTGGTTGAGGCACGAACATGCCAATCTTCCATTCTCGATTCGGTGCAATATTGGATCCATATGTTCTACATCTGCTACCACCACCTGTTCTTTAGAAGCCATGGACGCCAGGGCTATTCGTAGCTCTTTCTCTACAATACCACGCGTTCTCACTCGACTCTAGTGTGCAAATCGGTTACGAAGACACTGCTCTATAATTGGGTGCTGCAATTATGGCAGACATCTGTGATCCATGCATTACTGCATCGATACAGTTCTTCGGATGTGATAGCCGTGAACGCATTGCCACCTCAGATTTACATCTTGCCAAGTGGATATGGACCTATGATGTCCGGTTGTGACATACCTCCTCATGAATGCATTCTTACGTCATGCATGAATCACAACGCTGCTTCTTAAACCACGACTTCATCCTCCAGCGTCTATTTGCACAACAAACCATTCATACAATTCCTGCACTACAAAATGCCTTCTGCAATAGTCACTGGAGCCACTGGTATGTATCAAAATCACTTCATTCAAACCCATGCTTATACGACCCAGGCATCCTTGGCCGTGAGATTGTCTCTGAACTTAGCCAACATCGCCAACAATGGCCTACGATCCACGCCCTCTCGCGCAGCAAGAAGGAAGACTATGCCGATAATGTCATTCATAACCACATCGACTTACAGTCTTCTCTCGATGAAATGGCCAACGATCTCAAGAACGTGCGCGGCGAATACATCTTCTTCGCCGCCTACCTAGCCCAAGACAAAGAAGAAGACGCCTGGGAAGTCAATGGCCGCATGCTCTCCAACTTCCTCTCTGCGCTCGAAAAGACTGGCGCAGTCTCAGAAGTCAAAAGAATCATCCTAGTATGCGGTTGCAAGCAATACGGCGTGCACCTAGGCATGCCCAAACAACCCATGACTGAAGACCTTCCCTGGTTAACCGACACATCGAAATGGCCCCCAAACTTCTACTACAACCAGCAAAACATACTGCACGATTTCTGTACCAAACACAATAAAGAGTGGGTAGCCACCTACCCCAACGACGTCATCGGCTTCGCTATGGGAAACTTCATGAACCTGTCCTCCGCCATCGCTCTCTACACTCTCGTATCCAAAGAGCTCTCCGGAAACGAAGGCCTCACGTTCCCTGGCTCACCCGCCTTTTACACCAAATTTGACTCCTTCACGTCTTCCAAGCTGCATGCCGAGTTCTGTGCCTGGGCCGCCCTGGAGCCACGCGCTGCGAACCAGGCTTTTAACGTCGTCAACGGCGATGTGGAGAGTTGGCAGAATCTCTGGCCCAAGGTTGTTAAGTATTTCGGCGGAAGCGTCAAGCCCGATCAGTTCAAAGATGCGTATGCAAGTGGTGGTGTGGGATCTAGCCTCGTCAGAAAAGTTGTCGGCAAAGACGATATGTCTAGTGCTATGGATATGGCGCCTCAGCCTCCCATCAGCGTTATTGCAGATGAGATTGGGGTTCAAGGCACACCGGCACTCGAGAAGAACGTTGTGGAGCAGCATGTCGATTTGGTCAAGTGGTCGCAACGTGACGATGTCAAGGCTGCGTGGGAACATCTTGCCGAGCGCGAAGGTTTGGACAAAGCGACTTTTGATAAGGCGACTTGGGCTTTCACGGGGTTCGCACTGGGACGCAATTTCGATCTGGTGATTAGCATGAGTAAGGCAAGGGAGTTTGGCTGGTCTGGATACAGAGATACGTGGGCAAGTTTGAGAGACGTGTTTGAGCAGATGAGGGGAGCTGGTTATCTGCCAAAGGCTTAATTGGAGATAGACCGCCGCATGGTGTCTGAGATGATGGTCACGACAACAATGTTTATGATATGCTTTTATTTCCCTTGCCTTGCTTTGATTGGTATATAAGCTCTACCGACTGCAGTGCCTTGCATGCTTGACTTCTTAGAATACAGCACCTCCGATGATGAAGACTCTCTCCTCTTCTCGCCGCACCCACTGAATGACCTTGTTCGCACTCTGCGCGAGCGCTGCTCTCGACGTATTTGCCGGCGCAACAGCATAAAGCTCAAACAGCGGTGTACTCCACGCTAACGCTATACACGTCGTATTGGTTTCATGATGCACCTTAAGCGTGGACGGCTTGTTGTGCAGATTACTGTGAAGTTTATTGTACAGGTCGATCAATCTAGAGGAGACGGTAGTGTCAGTAAGCCTTCTTGGAACACATGTGGAGCGGTTGATTGCGAGATCACGTGCAAAGGGTGGGGATACGGACCGTCTCTTCTCCAGATCACCCTCGAAGTAAGGTGTATAGCTCGGCATGGTAAACTGCACGTTACCCCTCGACTTGTATAGAAAGTGCCTCAGCGGACTTCCGGGCACAATGTCTGTACAAGTGGGACGGCCTTGCTGCACAGCTGTGCGTATAGCCTCGATGGATCCATTGCGTTGCAAGTTCTGCGGAAACACCCGTTAGCCTACGAAACATGTATCGAATGCATTGCTCTCTTCTCAAACAATCCCGGCCATATTGGAACCAGACAAACGGGACTGCCAAAGGACCGAAAGGACGCGGTGACCGGGGCAAAGGGAAGGGGATGTGGAATCCGACGGGGAGGGTGGGCTAGGAGCATCGGAGTTGCTGACGTCCGAAGCCGAATCGCAAAGTTGCCCCGTGGGCCTCGTACGGGTATACAATTCGCGCTTACCGGCAATAAACCCATGAGAACCCATGGGAGAACACCGAGAATGAGCGAATTTCGCCTCCGAGCCCGTTCGAGCCCACATCGTTTGACGCATCAATCTTAAGGCACGGGACAACGTCCTGGGGCGGGAAAGAGAGGCCACTTGACTAGCATTCCGCGCGTCCTCACGTATCATCCCGGTCCACCGGGGATTAGGGAGACTTTGCAGTGGAATGTAAAGAAATCAAGTGAGCTTACCTCGACTAAATCATCCCTCATACGTCTAAGCTCGAAGAAGCTTTCCTTCTCCGCACTGATCAAGAGGACTGCGACCTCGTCGTCGGCACCATCGCTCGTGCGAGGCCGCTCTTGCATCTGCTCCGTTGGATGTTCGAGATTGAGGAAGCTTACGTACATGTACAAGTAGCCGGTGTTGTTGAACCCTGGTAAACATAGTGGGATCCAGTTTTCTCCACCTCCAGCCTTGACGCTACCGGCTTCGAAGAGCATGTTGAAGATCAAGTGGAGGTCACCAGGGTGTAGACTGTGCTTCTTGGGCCGGACGACGGACACAAGCTTCCCGGATGCGACGAGAAGACCGTAAAGGAGGTTCTCGGAACGGGTCTTCAAGAGTGTGTTGTTGATGGTGGTGCGGTGGGACTTGCGGAGCTTGAGGCACTCGAGAGCGGAGAGCAGTGTCGATGGTGAGCCTCTGGTGAAGCCATCTGCGAGCGCTGATAGCAGGGTCTCTGTTCCCTGCAGCGGCCTGCGAAGATCATAGTTCGCACGCGCAGCAAACATGCGCTCCATACTAGGGAGGGTGAGAGTGGATAGGATCTGCATATAGAGTGCCTCCAGCTGTGATCGAAGCTGGGAGTCGCTCTCTGGTAAGCGCGTAATGGCTACCAGGTTGAGCGGGCCCTTGGACATGACGACAAAGCGTACGTCTCCTGCCGTGAAACCTCTCAATATATCGTTGGTGGACTGGTAAAAGGATATGATGGTCTGAACGACACCAATGTAGTTTGTGATGAGCTGGTCGTCGCCATGTCGGCTGTAGATGGGCTTGCCGGCACTCGAGAGGATGAGGAAATGCTTCAGTTTTGCGCGCCACTGGTGCATAACGGCTTCTATTGACTACATCAGCGAGGGCTACCTCTAGGTACATGCCGCGTTTCTGACCTTCATTCGACCCGTCCATGGCCATCTCGTCGACCTCGTCGAACTCGCGTCGAAAAGCCTCCTCAAAGTATGGGTCCGGCGGGAACATGCTTTGCGCTTCAGCATCGACGAACTTGTGACCCAGCGTCCTGAGCAGCGACTCCTCTTGCTCCGACTTCTCTGCCTGGCCCATGACTTCGCCCAGGAGACTCTCCTGATACCCTGCCGCCTCTATTGTCGGCGCATAGCTGCGTATACTCGCACCATCGTCGGCATCGCTGAGGTTATGGGCGCCTAGGCTTACGCCCAAGACGTCGCGTGTCTTGGGTCCCGAGGACGTTGGCGACTCATCCTTCGCGTCGATAGCGAAGGCTTGTATCCGCGCTACAGACAGCTGTGTGGTGGCTTTGGAGAGGAGCTGTGGTCTCCCAGGCGCCGTAGAATGCGATGTCGAGGGTCGTGAGAGTAAACCGAGGGCGGGTCGGGGTGGCAACGGTGGAGGCGTCTCTTCTTTGGTCGCCACCGAGCTTGCAGACGTGCTACGCGAGAAGTTCCGTATTATGCTGAGGGTCGGATTGGCAAAGTCCTGCTGCTCAATCGGCTCCCCAGTAATCGACTTGGCCGAAGCATTGCTGCTCTTCTGCGTGGGTGTTGTGGGCGAGCTGGGACCCTCAGAGATCGGCGTCTGGGGCTCAGCATTCCCAGTCTCGGCCATCAAGATAGCGGTCGGGGGTCATCTAGACAGCGGGCTGGTGTTTGCTATGACATGGCGCGTCAACAGAGGCGTGCATGTCGCGAAGCTCCGTGATCGTGACGTTTATCCAGGCAATCCGTCACGCATGGGCCAATGACGTGGCTGCGCTATCATCGACGCTGCACGACTGCATGATCGACTCGCGCTTCGTCTGACTGCCGCGCTTCTGCAAAGACATGGGCATGACATGCGTGCAGGTATCCTATTCCTAGCATACTGACACCTCACACTGGTGCGCGCTGCTCATCGGACCCCACAAATAGCTCACATCTGCCCGTCTCACCTACCTACCCTCCGCTAAATTCACAGTTACTTCACCGACGACACCAAGACTTCACAACTTCCATCTTGACTCCTCGTCACGCGCATCGAGCGCTGACGCATCTTCGCCTCGTCTCGTACTCAGCTGTGCCAACACAGCATACTATTCTTAGCTTAACCAGGCGTGCAGCATTTCCTCATCCGGTATTTCATAGGTCTCCCACAAAGAGTGGTTGGTATCTCAGGCGTAGTGAGAGTAGCGGTATGCACGATGACCTATTATCAGCCTCGTGTTTGGGCGACTTGACGAAAAAGTAACAAAGTGAGCCGAAGTAGAGATCACGCGCCTGTGCTTCACCTTGGCCTGGGCAGTACGGTGTATTACAGCGAAAGAGTTCTCAATCTGGTCAAAGCCGTCGGACCTCACTTTTGCAAGCAGATTTCCTCAATAGTCCACACCGGCGCCGGTGCTATGTATCGAAGTCCGAATCAACCGATGCCATACCTCTCAACGACGGACAACGTAACGACCATCAACTATACTCTGGATTGGCCTCATCTCGAGAACCCCAGCAATACCACCTTTGCCGGACAAACACAAATCGACATTTGTCGCTGTCCCAGACCCGATCTCCCCTCGCAAGACGGCAGAGAGCCGGGCCACATCTACACTCGAAGCAAATGCGTCGGCCCCAAAGTCCGCTTCAGAACGAGAAAAGAAGAGCTATGGGTGCTCCAATCCGCCCATGGACCAGTCAACATGTTGCGACCGGCAACAAAAGAAGAAAAGGAGCGCCGCAACCAAGTCCATGAAGATGCCGAGCTGACAGTATACGAACGCCGAAACTTCCTTTTCCTAACAGGCCCGTGTCCGCGCGGACGATATCAAGCGTTTGCGACTCAAAAATGGTTAGAAAGCATCGGTCCGTCTGCTCGCCAACATGTTACAAGTCTATCTCTTCTCGTGCAACCCTACGAAGAAGACTGTTCAGCACAGGCTACCCAAAGAGCATTTGCCGAGCTAGCCAATTACATTCTGGAGCACTTGACCGGATTCAAGACACTGTGTCTCAACATATGGGACGATGAGATGAGCCTCTGGGGTGCGGCGAGCGAGTTCAGTATCCTTCTACACAGAGATGATGTAAAGATCGTAGTCGGGTGTATTTTGTGGAGTGGTCAGACAAGAGAATACAGCAATGCTAGAGCATTCTTCGAGGCTATGACTACACCGCCAAGCACGAAAAATACGCGCTCATTCAGCAATCAAATCATAGGCGATGACAATGGGAAGGATAGCCCGGATGAGCAGGACGAGGCTCAGGAAGATTCGTCCGACGGACTCGACACAACAGAACATGAAATGAGGAGTGATGGAGAGGCGAGAAAGACGTCCTGTTCTTCTCCAGTTTTCAAATCTGACACCGAAGACGAGAGTGGATCTGAAGATGATTGGACCGATGCAGCTATGAGTCCTATGGAAACTGAGAAAGACTGGCAGATACTATAACACACGTTTTGGGTATCAGGTATAACCTCTGGAACATGTGCGGAATGCTACTATCATTACTCTTATCATGCACCCCACGAATATACCGAGAGGGAACCTCAATACACATCAGGTAGTCAGCGTCTAATTGAAGTGTCAAACGTCTATTTTGAACTACTACCAGAGTGTGCTGTTTAACTTTGCGCTTTCGTCTCACAAGACATCCCGCATCCTTGCCTCAAGACGTAAGCCTGAACATCGGATGATCGTCACCCAAGTTATCGGCATCCACCTCTTGCAACCTCCCATCCCTTTCGCCCCTTTCCCTCTTCGCGTTCTCCCATTTGACCAAGAAGAGTAGCCCTGTGCAAGCCGCAGCACAAATCCATAACAAACCCAGGCTTGTCCCGTATCCCGTCCGAAAACCTGGCAGTTCGCTCTCGAGAAAGATGTTACTCGCCACGACACCTCCCAGGTTACCGAATCCAACTTGCATGGCAGAGCTAACAGAGCGCTTGTAGTGTCCAGACACAAGATTGGACATCCAGGCGAGCACGATGGGCTGAGTGATGAAACCGCCAGGTGTAACGAGAAAGAGGGCAAAGTACTTCACGCCAGCTGGGAGGTTCTCTTGGGCGAGAAGCATGATGTAGCCAATTGACGCGACAACGAGACCGAACATGCAAAACCAATAGCGATGGCGCATGCGGTCGCTTAGCCAGGCTGCTGCGACGGCTGCGACGGTTGCTACGATGAATATAGGTATCGAGCGTACTTGGGCGGCGGAAGATGTGTAACCGAGTCCTTTGACGATAGTTGGAGTGAAGATGGAACCAGCGGTGCCGGTATTGACGACCCCTAACACGTGGAAGCGTATGGTCAGCACGTGTTCCAATGTGAATGATGTAAGATGGAGTAGCACTGAGGATACACACCAAAGTAAGCAAGAGTCCCCAGATAGATCTTTGGGTCCAAAAAAATCCTCTTCGCAGCGTTCTTGTCCAATCTGTCCATGACGGCATCGCCTGTGTCGGCGTTGAGTCGTGCTAGGAGAAGGGTTTTCTCTTCCATGTCTAAAAACCCTGCTTTCTCGGGCCAGCCAGGTATCCAGAAGTACATAATGACGCCGAACGCAACGGTGACGGCACCCTCGATGATGAAGATCCAGCGCCTATACCTTTCGTTAGAGTTTGTCCTATGTGCAGTTCCAATGATGCGTGCTTACCATCCTCCGTAGCCGGCGATGCCGTCCATCTTGGCGATAGCGAATGCAAGGAGCTACGAGAGGTTAGTACGAGCTATTGACTGACATATGTATACTTACGCCACCGAATGCTCCAGCGATGATGCTCGCACTGAAGAAGAGGGTGATGCGCCACTGAAGCTCGTAACGCTTGTAATACATCGAGATCAGGTACAGACATCCGGGAAACAAACCTGAATGGGGGTTCATAAAGTCAGTAAATGTTGCACATACAACTCGTACATGGACAAAACTGACCAGCTTCGAAAAGACCTAATAGAAGACGCATAGCTAACAGGCCTCCGAAGTTGGTGATGAGCCCCATTCCGACTGTCGAAAGGCCTGAAGTTCGTTAGCATGGCATGTGCACGTTGATGCGTGCGAATTACCCCAGAGTACCATGATCAGACTGAGCCATGTCGAAGGTTTCATCTTTTTCAGGATGATATTTGATGGCACCTCGAAGAGGACGTAAGGGACGAAAAATATGGACAACGCGAGGTTGTAACGATAGGCCAGCGGGCCTGTCATGTTCAAGTCCTCAGTTAACCCTTGGATCTTTGCATTGCCTGTGTCCTGTTAGCTCGTAAACACGCTACCAGAGTGGTAGCAACGTACCAATGTTGACACGGTCCAAAAAGGCTAGGAGAAACAGGACAAAGAGAGGCGGAAGAACACGAAGGTCGCATTTACGAAGGAGCTTCTTCTCAGCGTATGGATCGATATGAGTTCCATACGTATCGTTGAGTACCACGGTCTTGTCATCTGGCAAACTTGATGATTTCATTGCCGGATTCTCCATGGTGGTTTTTAGAGTGAAGAGCACGCCTAATCGGAGTCTGGGCAACAGGATATATAGAGCACGGCGATTTCTGGGATGTAGTCGCCCCGAAGCTGCAGCCTATTTCTTACATCAGTAAGGGTGGATGAGGCGTGATTAACAGTAGCCAATTAATCGATATCGTCATTCGCTGGCGTGCACACCCGGTGGACGGTCACGGTTCCGCGTTCCGGGGAAGCATGCCAGGTAGTGGAATAGTGCCGCACGTCTTCCGCTGATCGACAAAGAATATGGGACGGCTTCGGAGAGTAGTGACTAGCTTTACATGACTTGAGACGTTGGCAGCTAGGTGAGGCTGGGTAAAAAGCAAGGTAGCGACAAAGTGTAGACCTCGGGTGCGAAGGTGCGATATGACAAGGCCGCTTTCTATGCTCAGTAACCATGTACTGCTCTTTCCTGAAACTTCGAGACATACTAAAATGCGGGTTGAAACTAATTATGCGATACCAAAACTGCCGTGAAGAGAGCACTTTCGCAATCAATGCCTATTTCTAGTGAGTACATCGCTCTAGACGACAGGCCATCCTTTCCAAGTGAACATTAGCGATGTCGAAGGGTACTTGTAATGACGGATCGCAATGAAGTAGTCAGAAATAAGGGCGGTGCCAAGTGACAGTGACGCCATTCGGTGAAGATAGAGTTGAAATTGAAACTTAAAAACGCGAGCACGACCGGAGGTCTAGAAAGTGTGTATGCAAGCTCGGCAGATATCGACATCATCCCACCGAACTTGGGGAAAAGACGAAACACGTGTTAAAATTCAACACATTCGAAGTCTACATCGCCTTGAAATCTTGTTAACATTCAGTTTTGTACCCATGTAGACTGCAGCGCAACTGTTCAGTCCCCTACTTGTATAAGGTGATTCCAGGATGCTGGTCATGAACTCCGTTGTGCGTACGAAAGTAGTATCATCAAGCAATGCGACGAGAATGCATCATTTAATCGAGTATGAATACTGCAAGCTACTTTCTAGGATCTTGTGATTAATTTTCGAATATTACCTAGGAGGACCGAAGACATGTTGGTGATGGCCCGCAGGCAGGTGCACAAGCCTCATCACGCTACCACTAGCGCGAAATCCCGCTCGCTTACGAGCTGCACCACACCTGGGCAGAGCAAATTCGTTCCCCGACATCAGCTCTTCGACAATACCACACAGCCAAATCGACATCCACAACCGTCGCCATGGCCAGTACGTTCACGGAATTTCACCCCTTACATGGCCAGAATACTAACGGAGCTGCGCAGAATCCAAGAACTCGTCCCAGCACAACCAGTCCAAGAAGAACCACCGTAACGGGTACGCACCACCCTTATCCATCGCACGCGCCATTATCCCGCAAATGAAGCATCTACAATGCGAGAGAATATGGATTCCTAGATGAGAACAAAAGCTGATGCAATGGCAACACAGTATCAAGAAGCCCAAGACCCACCGTTACCCCTCGCTCAAGGGAACCGACCCCAAGTTCAGGAGGAACCACAGGCATGCTCTTCACGGCACTATGCGCGCTCTGGTGCGTACCGACACTCCCTCTGCCCACGGGAACACGGCCCGCTAACAAACACACACAGAAGGAGGTCAAGGAGGGCAAGCGCGACTCGGCATAAAGGACGATACGATCACGAGCGAGCGACGATGGCGGTTTTCGATTCCTTTATGAGACATCTGGTCGGCGTCAATGGCATTCGGACTTTCTATGACAGCTTCGAACTCAAGGGATTGGAGCACGCGGCTTCACGCCTACTGCAGGCATGAAATGCGGCAATGAAACAAGTCGAAAAGTCAGGTCGGTTCCACCAGCGCGCGACTGTCCAAGTGATGTGTTAGGCTGTTCGACCGTTCGCAACGAGTCCAGGTAAGTCGGAGACATCAACGAGGTGCAAACCTCAACCCAGCCATTAGTGTGTACAGCAACAGAGCTCTTCCATGCTCGACCTGCTGAAGGAAAATCTATCGTGGCAAGAACAAGCACCCCCATCATTACCAAACACACGACCTTTTACCCCGTAAGGTACGTGTGCATGAAGATGGGGTTACATACCAGCTGTTGAATCAGTACCTTGGGACTTTCGGTGCATCTTCGAGAGAGTTTGTGCAGTCAGTACATTACAAGATAGCATACATCCATATGTATTCCAATCAATGACATTATCCTATCCAGATTGTGCCTACCTTTTTACTCAGATTACGCTCCCTAGACATACATCTTGAAGAACGGGCGGGCCGTCACTGGCACCTCACCACCTCCATCCTTCCCTCATACTCTGCGACCGCGACGCTCAAGTCTCTCACCACGCTAACCTTCCTGAGCTGATGCGAGGGTGCCCATAGTCACCAGACATTGACAAAACGCCCCTTGACGCTGTCACATCTCTCCGCGGAGGTAAGTCAGCCGAGGCGTTCCCGTTCCTGACGTTGCTGCAACCCTGTCGTAGCCCGATTAGCTAGCAGCCCTACACCCCGGATTCATCCGTCATATCTACCCGTCTTCTATTGCGAAACTCTTGTGTTCCCAACCCTTTCTTCTCCGTCATCCAGTTTCTTTACCTTCCAGTCCTCTTCAACTCAGCCTACGCATCTCGACCCCCACCCATTCGCTCCGGTCGAACGTCACCGCCCCCACCATCCCACCATGGCTACCCAAGCGCACTGCGCGTTCTGCTTCGAAACTCTCGTCGCAAGCCTCGAGAAGCGCCCTGCCCTAACACTCGCTCAAGTCGAACACCTCTGGGTAAAGTACAACACCGAGCCTACTACAACCTCTGAGCTCGAAGACGAGACCGAAGCGGAAGAAGCAGATCAGGCCGCCGCACAGGTAGATGGCTCCCACAGACCCGCCGCGATATCGCGTATCCTCGCCTCCCCGCCCTCGTCCGCAAGTTCGTCAAGCCGGCAAAGCGCGAATTCGACGCCCAGCGGTCTAAGCAGCGAGACACCAAGTAGTATCACAAGCCAGAGCAGCAGCTCTACAAACCTGGTCGATAAGGAGGAAGAGGCAGAAGAGCATCCCTTGTTCGTAACATGGAACACGGTTTCGCGCTCCGGCGACAAGCGACTTCGAGGCTGTATCGGAACCTTTGCAGCCCAGCCCCTCACCACGGGACTCTCATCCTACGCGCTCACTGCCGCATTCGACGATACGCGTTTCTCGCCCATTAGCACAAGCGAACTACCTACCCTAGCATGCGCAGTCACGCTCCTCACAGACTTTGAGCCCGTGGACGATGCTATGGATTGGGAAATTGGCACACATGGCTTGCGGATTAGCTTCCAGGAAAAGGGCAGGCGATACGGCAGTACGTATCTGCCTGATGTGGCGAGCGAACAGGGATGGACCAAGGAAGAGGCGCTGGTTAGTTTGATGCGGAAGGCGGGGTGGGGTGGTAAGAAGGCGGATTGGAACAAGGTCGCGTTGAAGGTCACGAGGTACCAGGGCAAGAAGGTAGCGTTGGGGTGGGGCGAGTGGAGGAGTTGGAGGGATTGGGTTGACGAGGAGATTGCGGATGTTTAGATGTGAAGAGTGAACTATTTTGGCTCTTTGTGATTAGAGCTATAGAAAGCTACGGATGAAGGGATGCATCATGATTAACGATGATAATGGATAGCGATGGCGCTACAGTAGGGATATACATCGACGGACTCGATAGACAAGAAAGTTCGATACCCCTTGATAATGAATAACGACTTCTTTTACCACAGCCGGAGTCGCATATGACTGCAGCAAGTACTGATTGAAACGCCGCCGTCGTGTCACGTGCCCAAGTATATACAGAAGAACTTGTATACACAATCATCAATCATCCATTTTGGTAGCAACCACGCTTTCCTTATCCAAGGATGGATGTGTCATGGTATCATCCATTCGTTTACCCCAAAGGTCCTTGTATGCAAATACCGAACCCTAGCCCAGTCCATCTTACAGTTCGCTTTCTTTTCACGATCACACGTTTACATAACGTACAACAGGTCCGTATCTACTCATGTTAGTGTTCCGTTTGTGCTGATCAAAAGGTAGAGAAAAGGCTTACTCAACGGGTGACTGCAGCTCAGCTGAGGTTTCTGGGCATATTTCCCCTCTAGCTCATCACGAATACTGTTGAGCAGTTGTACATAGCTCTGATTTGGGTTCTTGCGCAGCGAAGAAATGAAGGCCCAAGACATGGCTCCGGTAGCTTCACCCCCAATACTTGCGTCGGCCCTGTTGTTCATCCAGATCAGTATTGTCCTTGTTGAGTTAGAGCTGGATGGTGCAAAACTTACGAGGTCTGTGTGTCCTTGGATCCACTCCACATGATCACGTCGGCAGGGCTAGTCTTTGTTCGCAGGTTCTTCTTGTACACTTCATCACCACTGATTGCCTTCTTAAACAGACTGGTGGCGCCGCCAATCATGCTGCCGATATCGCCGCGTGCGTAACTCGACACGATACCCAGTAGACCCTGGCCAGCCTCCTTCGCCAGGTTGGGTTCCTTGAGCACACCCTGGGTGGAATAGATGTAAGGCAGATCGAGGGCGGAACCAGAGTGGCAGGAATCGAAAATGGCGGTTAATCGCACACCGGGCTGGAGGGGCGCAACCATGATACGGTGCATCTCGTCATCGACAATGTGGCCGGCGGTACGGAAATCAACTGGGTAGACTACTTCGTCGTAGCCATCGTCTTCGTCTCCGTCGAGGTCTTTGGTCTGGCCACCATGCCCTGGGTTTAGTTAGTATGTCTGACAGTGTGCTTGTGTAGAGCGGAAGACGCACCTGAGTAGTGGAAGAACAACGAGTCGTTCGGTCTTGCGTCCTTGACCAGCCAGTGCATCGCTCGTAGAATATTCGCCTTGGTCGGCTGGCTCATGGGATTTTGCTGGTCGTCGGTCAAAGTGACCATGTCCTCCCTCTTATAACCAAAGAACTCGTTCAAGTACGTGCTCATGTTCTTCACATCATTGATGCAACCACGAAGTTGACCTCGTTGGCCGAAGTAGTTGATACCAATAAGCAGCGCTTTCCGCCGACCGTTACACGCTGAGTATTGGAACGAGTAGCCATTGGGTGCGCCGTGACCGAAGTTCTGTGCGCCGGATGGTGGTGGCGGGGGAGCGTTGTGGTTTCCATGTGTCCATTGGTTGCTGCCAGCTGTGGGCATCATGCCTGGACGAGGAGGCTGTTGTGGTTGTTGCGGAGGTGGCGGTCCATAGTTGCCGTACTGCTGTGGTGGCGGGCCCTACGCATGTCAGCCATGGATTCAGCGAGCGGTTGCTTTTTAGCATGCCATGTGCATACCTGGTTGTATCCATACTGTTGAGGCGGCGGCGTAGGTTGGCCGTAGTTGTTGTAGGGTGGTTGCGGGCTCTGGTATCCGTATTGCTGTGGGGGTCTGACGTTCGTCAGCATCGGTCAAGCTTTGCACGTCATTGTCTACTCACGGAGCACCGTAGTTTTGCTGCGGAGGCGGGTATCCTTGGGGAGGTGGAGCACCGTAGTTGTTCTGGGGCGGCGGCGGCGCGCCGTAGCCACCGCCACCGTGGTATTGCTGGCCAGGATAGTAGGACATGTCGAGTTGCGATGTGCGATTGCTGTCGAGGTTTCCTCAAGTGTCCGCGCGTACTGGCAGAGATGCCGAATAGCCGTAAATGATGATGCCCAGATACCCGTCTGCGGGCGCGCTCTTCACTGCTTCAAATAGGAATTGTGACGCAAGTGTCGAGATGAAGGAATAAAACGTCGTAGGGTGCACGAAGAAAGCTGTAGTCGGTCCCGTTATAGAGTGCGGCTGACGGTGCGTCGGTAACGTCGAGGGATGTGGTAGTAGCGCGGGGTCTGGCAAGGATGGCTAGGGCTGAGCTCTGACAAAGCTATGGGTACTGAGCTCCGAAACTCGTGGGCCAACTCTCTTACCTCACAGTCCAGACGTCTGAATCTAGAAGAGCAAACCACGAGAACAGGCAAGACGAGCGACGATCCCTTGGAGAAATAGCAAATCGAGTCAATTCAGGGGTGTACACCATAGGAATGGGCCGTTACGGAGATGAAAGAAAAACGGAAACGCCTGTGAAGAGAGTCTGGATGGCGGGTCGAGGGCGCATGGCGTATGGTTTGTGCCCATGTTTCCTCGTGATCCACGATGCGACTTGCATGCCGCTATGCAAACCTACTGTAGCAGTCTACTGTGTACATGCATCGTCTTTCGGCATTGCGTCCGCAGCTCGAGCTACTCATGCGCTAGGGACACTGTGCAACGGCGATTACAACGTAGACGCTTATCCGTCATGGTCCATCCTACGTTTGCTACATCAATTGGGTAAACACACGCTACCTGCCTCTTCCAAGACATTTCATCCGCTTCATTTCCACAACTACCTACGTGTCTCCTCCTATGCAAGACGAGACCCCAGTGCCGCATCTCCCGTCGCTTCTGCCCTCTCATTCGTCTAGCCGCCCGGCATGCTCAATCTGTCCGTCTTCTTCCCGTCTACTTTCCGCAATGTGTGACATGGGGGCGTGTGGGATGCCACGATGCCGGCGAGGTACAAGGCTAGTTAGCTCGTCCGGTCTCGTACGCGAGACGGCAACACCGACGATCCCCAGGACCGGGGTCCAACTAGGCGCAGATCTGTTTCCTCGGAGCTGGGCTGGTCTAACGCTGTTCTACAGCGTGTGCTTTGGAGAGAGAGTTTGCTATGCTTTCGGTAGTTTATGTGCTGTTGCTTTTGCTTTTTCAGTTCCAATCAATGTTGACAGTCATGATTACAACAAGCTTTCCTATTAAACGTAGACCCCATCCATCAAGACCAGACCATCAACCCGCTCTGAAATCAAACGGCCCTTTCCCATCCCGTATTCATCCAAGTCTTTTTTTTTTCAGCCCTGTACCGTCCCTGGCCAGATCAAAAACACGGCATCATGCACCCTGCCGAATGCGGCGTGCAACGCGAAGGGTGTACGAGATCACTTGGCTACATACCTGCTATCCTACCTTCAGCGCTTCCCGATCCGACCCATACCCCTCTACGCGATCCCACCTTGATGCACTTTACGCATCTGCAAGAAACCTTTCTGGCATCCTTCCGTCCAATTCAGTCCTTACATGAAAGCGCCGCTGCTTCTAGAGGCTGGTGCTAAGAGAGTCTAGCCCTTCCTGTGGCTTGCGCAGAGCACTGCAGGCCAACACTGAGGGCCGACTGTAACTGGTCCGCGATCCACGATGATTGGAAGGGGAAGAGGACCGGTGTATGCGTTAGGCGCAACGCTGCTGTTGTTTCACTGCGCGCTGGCGTTTCTGGCTGCAGTGGTCGTGAGAAGTGGGCGCAATGGGCTTCTTCGAACGGCATCATAGATGTCGTGACGGTGGCTATGGGGTTACATTGTCTGGTAGGCTGTGGTAAGTCGAGCTATCTTAGCCCTATGAGTAGTTCAAGGCTGCGGTGACAGGGTAGCTGAAGGTGATGTAACGGCATGCTCATGCAAGCTGTGCGATGAACGAAGTGTGCGTCTTCTCCCAGCTTTCATGCACGACATGGCGATGCACCAAGAATAGATGCGCGCGGTGATGTCAAGAATATCATGAGAAGATAGTGTTCAAAGTATGCTATTCGAGAACATGGGGTATAATGTTTGACCAATTGCTTCTTCATCGTGCTCTTCCGCCCAGTCTAAGGATGAAATAATGAAGAGCGAGCTCCGTCCCAAAGTAACCATATAGATCATCAATCTTCCCGAGCTTGATAATGACTAAATGCGAATATAATCGTACAGAGTGCAGTCCGATTCAAATGACTCTTGGGGTGGTCGTACGTATTCGTTTGAAAGAAGAAGGGATGAGAAAGAAAGTAACCGACGAAATTGCTAGAGACGCCAAACATGAACAGTTCGTACAGATTACAATAGGTATAACAGTGCGTCAAGCCACCGAGTGCGGACGCTGTCTCAGGATCGGTTTCGACGAATGAAGCAGACGCAAACGCCGTATCGTGCGCTTTAAGGGGGTAACTATTCGTGACAAAGAAATCAATCGTCAGTGTACGCCAAAATAAAAAAAAACTGCGATCATGGATGTAAAAGAAAAGCTGCTGGTAGAGCAGGGTTGGGCATGGTCTTGGATGGAGCAGGCTCGGAAGCTTGAATCGCACCATCATCTTCAGTGGTCTTCGCACTGGCTTCTGCCTGCTTCTCTGCGTCCTCAAGCTCTTGCTGTTCACGAGCTTCGCGCTCGGCATAGATCTTTTGCTTCTGCGCTTGCGCAGTTGCCAGAGTGTCGATATAGGTGCGGAACTTGACAATCTCGCGAAGGAGGTACTGCGACTTGCGCTCCCAGTTGGCCATAGCCTTTTGTGCGTTAGGGTGGCGAGGGGAGAACTAAGAATATGTTAGTGACGTTCATGTATAGTCTGGAGGTAAGTCTTACGGCAATGAGTAACGGCGCTCTCAGTTCGTTGTGGTGCGAGAGCTCGTTCTCAATGTTCTTGACATAGTCGGTAAGGGCCCTGAGCTGGTCCACTTCCATCAGGGTACTAGCCATCATGCTGGACGCCGGTGGGCTCCAGTCAGATAGGGTCACCTTGTCACCGGGAAGTCTAGCCTTGGGCGTGCCAGTGGCATGGTCCATCGAACTACGAAGGGAGCTTGTGACACTGGGACGGGGCATGTGGCCTTGTACCGATGGTGCGCTGTCCTGTCGGATCAGAGCTGGGTTGATGACGTTCTCGCCCCAACCATACTCCATGCTGCTGACTCCACCCATTAGAGGCTCTTTCGAGAGACGAGCCGACCAGTAGTTGACGGTGCACACGAACTCTCGGCAAATGTCCGGTGTGCCGACCTGGAAGAGATGAACAGCACCTGTAGGCAGCGACAGCGCGAAAACGTGAGGCCTTGTCTTCGAGTATCCTGGGGGAGGTAGAGCGCTGGCAATTGTCTGTCGGAGTGGGAAACTGTCCAGGGCTTCCGCGTTGTCCATCCAGTTACCGCCTCCTACAACACCGCCCACGGACGGCCGCAGTTTGCTCTTCTGTCGAACCGACTTGGAGTTCATGCTGAAGGAGAACAAGCGCATGCAACCCTTTTCAACCACAGCGAAGCACTCGTTCCATGCTCGATCCTTTGCTTTCCTATCCACTGAATCAAGGTGTCGCTTGTGCTTGAGAATGCCTTCCTTGGCCCAGGGTGCTCCCACAAGCTCGAGTGTCTCGTCTTCCAACAGTGGGGCGACGCGGGAGAATTCTTCGTCGCTAGCGATAGTCATACCTTCCTCCCGAATGATAGCTTGACTGAGAGCATTGGCGAAGCCGATGGCCTGTTGGTAGTCGCCAGTTGCAAAGTGCGAGCCAAGAGAGTCGACCGACATTGATGTGCCCGTCTTGCCGTAAGAGTAGCGACTCCAAGAGCTGGACCCGGCAGGGCTCCACACTGAGCCGTCGTCCAAGCTGGTCCTACTTGATGCTACAGTAGACGAAGGATACAATCTTTGCTTTGAGCGGTTCTTAGAGGCCCAACGACTGCCCACGTTTCGGAAGTCGTTCTGTGACCGACCACGGTAACTGGTATTGTCCGAAGGCGCTTTGCTCAACACACTGGGAGTGCGGCGTAGCATGTTGCTAACGGAAAGATTGTTGGATGAAGGCTGGTGATGGACAACAGGTTCAGAAGATCCGTGGAGAGGCAAGCGTTGCTTGCGGATAGAATCGTAGAACTCTTTGAGCACAGTTTCGATCTGAAACTCCCATCCCCGCATGGGGCCATTGTATGGTGAGTTGACGAGGGTGTTGGACTCTGACACGGCAGAGTCAAAGGAGAGCAGACCCTCTGAGCCACTCCTAGCAGGAGGGCGAATCGAGAGACGGCTGCGGGTTTTCCTAGCCTCCACAGGCTCTTCCTCGTCCGCTGGAAATGTGGTGGCTTCGGCGCCCGGAGAGTTGGGTTCTGATTTATCGTTCCACGGGAGAGAGGGTCTTCGGAAGTGGGCGTGTTGCGGCTTCAGTGTCTCCTCTCCTGCAGCCTTGACCGAATCTTGACATACGCGAGTGACGGTCGGGAGTGTGTTGCGGACGAACTGGCTGCGTGTCATTCTCGACTCAATGTCGGCCAAGTGAAGGTCTGTGTTGAGGAGCAGGATGGAATAGCAAATCGTATGCACAACATCTGTAGTGGATTAGCTTACTATATTGTCTCAGCACAGTGAACACCTACCGACTGCCTTGAAGCCATGACTGCTGTTGCATTCACACCAGCGCTCTGAAAGACTCATGAGAATGCGATCAACCTGCTGCGTCTCGGCCTTGAGGATAATCTTCCCACAAAGGTCACGCATAGCGGCGAGGATATTCATGCCTGTCCAGTCAAAGAGGTCCATGAAGGCCTTGCGCATGCGTGTGCTGGACAAGGTGACATCGCCCAGCAGGGCAGCTGCTTGAGCCTTCAGACTGGAGGAATCATCACCGCTGTAGATCTGGAAAGCGCGTTCGCGCTCAGCATCAGTAGGCTCGCTGTGCATCGATCGGTCCTCGACAATAGCAGGCATGCTGTCGGATTCGCGGCTTTCAACTTGCACGATAGGCAGGCTCGTAGCAGAGTGGAAAACGTCATTAGGTGAGGTTGGAGTGTTGGCGTCTGGCGAAACCTTGTCGAGGGACTGCTGAGACGATCGCGCGCCTTCCAAGGGTAGCTTTAGATCGTCAGAAGTGTCGCCAAGCGTGTCTGGCAGAGTAGTATCGAGCCACACACGTTTCGCGGCCGGGCTCTTGCTGTTGGTAAGATGAACCTTGTCGGTTGATTCGGTGATGACCCAACCTTCGTCTTCGACCTCCGAAGCAGACTGTGACACTGACCCACTCCTAGAGGTTGAGTTGTTGAAAGGTGACAGAAGCTCAGCCCGGTGATCGCCAGATGGCTTGCGATTGCTTTTTGCATCAGATTGCCTGAGTGACGAGGGAGTGGGTCCTGTGCTTGGCCTCCGCGCTTCTTCGGTACCACTGTATTCACCCGTTGGTGTTGCACGGCCACTGCGGTCCTCATTGCCACTGCTATCCGCAAGGAAAGTGTCTTCTTGCTGATTTTGGGCAGCAGATTTTGCATGCTTCAACTTAAGCTTCAATTTCGGACTGCCCGTATTGTTCGTCTCAGAAGCCTTCAGCTTCTCTCCTCGTGAAGCAGGCGGTGTCTGATCATCCCCACGCGAAGTCGGCTTGATCGTGCGGACTGTTGCGTCCTTGTGTAGTTTATAGTTTGGTGAGAATCCATTCGTGGAAGCATCGCCCGACTGCTCATCTCGTGCGTCGACGGACCTCTCAACGGTGCGCCCTGCATCGTTCAAGTAAGGGTTCATCACTTGGCGCAAACTACTAACTCCGGGGCTAGGCTGGGGCGGAAGGACTGGCCTGTTTGGTTGAGTAATTTCGAGAGCGGCAACTGGAGGTTTTGTGTTTTCGGATATCGACTTCTTCCGACGGCGGAAGAACGATGACGGCTTTTTGCCCAACGTTGGGGGCTGCAATGCTTGGACATCCCCGTGCGAAGAATTGGCAGTCTGAGGGGCTTTTGGCAATGATTTTAGCTGCGTAGCAATGTGACTGCTATTATTCGGGGTCGTGCGGGGTCGTGCGGCAGAGTACATAGAGTTGACATCGGCCGTTTGTGGCTTGGTGGAGACTGGTGTTGAAGCCTCTTGCGACAACGTGGGTGGGCCTGTGGGGGTTGGGAGTGGTGATTGGGATTTGGAGGAGCCTCCGCCAAAGACGCGTCGGAAAAAGCCAGGCTTGGGCGCTGCTGGGGTTTGCACAGGGAACAGGGGACTTCTCGCGGCCACAGATGGTGAGGGCGCGGTTGGGTCATGCCATGATGGCACAGGAGGCAACTCCCGCAAGGTGCTGGCGTTGACAAACTCCTGCGCCTGGGCTCTCATGCTGGGTCCTGGCTGGCTCTTGTTCTTGCGCAGCGTTCTGTAGCTTGTGTTGGAACGCACGCTGCCTCTGCGGCCAGGCCTCGGTCCTTGTGGTACGGCGAAGGCTGGTTGGGGAGGTAGAGCGAGGGGAGATTGCGGTGGTTCCTGGACCCTTCGAGGGCCAGCCGGGATGGTGGGCTCGGGAGCGGCATCGTATTCATCGGGATAGTTTTGATAGGCAACCCTTCCGCGGTCCAAGACAGATTCAACTCTGAGGGGGGAGACTCTGCCCCGGTCGCTTGCATTGCTATGATCGAAGCTCGCCGAGCGCTTTCCAAACCCTAGACGCTGGTTGCCCAAAATGCCAGACTGGCCAAAGTCCATGCTCGAGGAGCCGCTGCCCATGCTGCCCTTCTTGTTGCCGCCTCTCAGATGGCCCGCCTGTGGGAGCTGGCCATACTGGCCGGTACCCTGCCTGCCCGTGTATATGTCCCGCG